CGGTATATTTATAATTACATGTCAGGTATATATGTGACCAGAGGCTATCGCATGGTATGCCGTTCTCACGTGCACTCACACATGCATTTCATAGGTATCTTGATATTTTACAAAACATTATTTTCACAGAGTAAGAAGACTACATTTGTAAACACGATTATAACAGCGAAAATCGTAACGACCTCGAGCTTATGAACTCGTGTAAGCACGCAAGGTCGGTACGTCCGCATTCCATGCGTTTCCTATATGACCTTCTTGAGGTCGTTTGGTCTCATGTCACTGTCTTCCCGTGAGTCGGTTTATGTCTATGAATTGGAAAGCTTTATTCCTAAAGTACGTGTGATTATACATTTTCCGGTAAAATCTCGATATCGGTTGTTGACATATCAGCACGCACGTGTACTATTGTTTACGAGCTGGGTCCTGTTCGTTTATGCGGAGCAAACGGTTTGACTGTTTATTAATGTAACAATTTCGAGTATAAATCCTGGCGGACCTGCAAATGCGTATGCAGGCCTTGCAAGGCTTTCTCAAGGCTTGCCTGAAGGCAGCATCAGATTACTAGGTCCCATCTTATTTAATAAACGAACAACAGTGCTCCGATCGGTTTGACCGTTTAAACGAAAACGGCCCAGGTGTTACTATAATTTGCACTACGATATTGAATGCCCGATACGCAATACGGAAATGACGACACTGTGTACATGCACATTTCGATCAAGATAATTGAGTCCGAGCTGTACTTTTTCCGGAAGTACGGCACGAAAATGGACGCTGATGACGATGTGTGGAGCCACCTTAAGTGGTCGACTCTGAAAGTTCAGATTATATGTTTTGATTATTTCAGAACTATCTACTTCCCTAAATCAATAATAAAAAAACACCTTCTGATTACAATATAGTAAAACCTGTCTTTTCCCCTCCTATGAGTATTCCACCATCTTGTTAAGTTTTTTTCTTTTTTTTTCTAATGAAAACCTGAGGCCTGTGTTAGCTTGTCTTACCTGACTGAAGGTGTTTCAGGGTGCTATATTATGCAGGTTAATCTGACCAACGGTATGCCACAGAGTGTCAGATTAAATAGGTACAGCTCATTTACTAGTAGTGTACTGAATAATTTCCAATTTCTCCTTTGGTTTTTTTACAGGAAATCGCAGAACCAGCTATAGCTGCGGGAACCGTAGCTTCCAGGCCCGATCGTTTTAGTTTGATGGTCCAATAACAATTTTTTTTTAAATGAAATTATTAGGCCTAGAAGCTACAGTTCCTGCAGCTCAACCAGGTACTGTTAATCTTGTCTATGAAGTACAAAAACGTCCAAAATCAAATTAATATTCATTGTCAAATCATACGAAGAGCTACATCTTCAGGTATGTGTGCATGTGTAGGAATACACATAGGGATAGTGCTTTGTATAATTCGTATAACTTGTGCCCAATCCTGCAGCTTTAAAAAAGTATTAAAATATGTTCAGATCGAAACACATTGTCCTTGTGATGACCTTGTGACCTGTTATTGGCAAGTTACTAATATGTAAAGTACACAATACGTTTAGCATAAACCTGTAACTAGAAGTAATTTCTGAAGTTTTCTGTTTTCTTTGTTGCAAAGTTTCACTCGATCATCTTACAGTTGTGGTACCAGGCACCAGAAATCAGTACTGATCCCAGGATTAGCTGTATTGTAGACTTGTTATAGGTTGTGTTTTTAGCCCTGTTCATTTGAGGCATTTTCATTATAAACACGCGTGCATTTGATAAAGGGTTATCAGTTTCCTCCTGGAACACTTTTGTATGGTTTATGGCTGTAATGTATTAAAAATCATACAGTCTATTCCAAACACAGGAGGATTCTGACACAGACAACACAATGTATGAACAAATCATAGTCTATTCCAAACACAGGAGGATTCTGACACAGCCAACACAATGTACTAACAAATCATAGTCTATTCCAAAAAAAGGAGGATTCTGACACAGACAACACAATGTGTGAACAAATCATAGTCTATTCCAAACACCGGAGGATTCTGACAAAGACAACACAATGTACTTACAAATCATACAGTCTATTCCAAACACAGGAGGATTCTGACAGACAACACAATGTACTTACAAATCATACAGTCTATTCCAAAAAAAGGAGGATTCTGACACAGACAACACAATGTACTATCAAATCATAGTCTATTCCAAACACAGGAGGATTCTGACACAGACAGCACGATGTACTTACAAATCATACAGTCTATTCCAAACACAGGATGATTCTGACAGACAACACAATGTACTTACAAATCATACAGTCTATTCCAAAAAAAGGAGGATTCTGACACAGACAACACAATGTACTATCAAATCATAGTCTATTCCAAACACAGGAGGATTCTGACAAAGACAGCACGATGTACTTACAAATCATACAGTCTATTCCAAACACAGGAGGATTCTGACAAAGACAACACAATGTACTAACCAATCATAGTCTATTCAAAACACAGGAGGATTCTGACACAGACAACACAATGTACTAACAAATCATAGTCTATTCCAAACACAGGAGGATTCTGACAAAGACAGCACGATGTACTTACAAATCATACAGTCTATTCCAAACACAGAAGGATTCTGACACAGACAACACAATGTACTAACTAATCATAGTCTATTCCAAACACAGAAGAATTCTGACACAGACAACACAATGTATGAACAAATCATACAGTCTATTCCAAACACAGGAGGATTCTGACACAGACAACACAATGTACTTACAAATCATACAGTCTATTCCAAACACAGAAGGATTCTGACACAGTCAACACATAGATGTTAAGATCAACTAAATCACAATAGGTAGATTCCGTGACTGATGTCTAGTCGCTTCCTGGGATGGCAAACTATTTTGACCCACATTCAAAGTTGCTGGAGTCAAATGGGTCAAAGTCTTCCTCTCAGAAACAATAACTTCTTGAGTCACGATACTTTACCAGTGGCTAGTGAAGGTCTATCCCGATTTAAAATGCACACTTCTATCTGGGCCAACAAGAGTAAGCTGGAAAAACTTGTTTCATAAATGTTGTTAAATAAATTTTATATCAATTTGTTAGTGATTCACTTTCAGGTCACATAAGTGTTGAAAAATAAAAACTCTTTCTCAGTATTTTTTTCCCCAAACACTTCTTTCCTATTGATTGGAAGTCAAATCTGTGATAAAGTTGCAATATATTTTACTTGTGATGTTAAACCTGTTCTATTTACATCGATATTAATGGAAAAGTTTGATTGAAAATTACATTGTCACCAGTTATTTTCTCAAACAAGCTGTTTAAAATGACACAGACCTATGGCTTACATGCCAAATATTGAACTCTATGTTTGATGACATCTTGTTTATGAGTTGGTTTATTGGAATAAACACATGGTTTTTAACTTTTTTATACATATTCTTTTTTTGAAACCCAGTTTAGTACATTATAACGTTAATGGTCACTTCCAAGAATTCAATGGATTGAAAATTGCATTATCAGTAATTTTAATGAGAAATCCTGCGAAATTTTGCTTATTAATATTATATTCTGCATATTTTGTGAACAGTACTTTGTTCATTTTAAGACTTGATTTTACCTTTTAACACCAACTGCAACACTATTACAATTCATGCAATTAATTTTATATCCATGTGTTTTCAGCTTCTTAAATAGCAGACTGTCAAATTTCAAACAACCAATTACCATCATTCTGTAAAATGTATTGCAAGATAAGAGAAAAATACTTCTATTGGAAATGACTTAAAACCAAAACTTGTTAAATGTGATAATGGCCATGTTTTAAATTGACGGTGTTCGATATGTTAACCTTAATGCACACTGGTTACGTGTAGCCGTAATCTGGTTGTACACACACGTTATCTCTGTACCGGATTCAGTAGGTAGAGGTTTATAATCTTTTCAAATTCTCCCCCTTTATGTTTATTTTGCAAACAAGTTAACTTGTCAATCAAATCGTCCTCAATCTCAACTTTTCATTATTAAGGCTCAACTGACAGAGATCCCAGAGGGATTTTGGTGTCCACCATCATAACATCTTCATTGGTTCTATGTCAGTTTGATCTTTCTCTCCTGCTGGTATAAGTCATGTCAACAGTAAACACATGTTGTAGTAATTTTTGACTAAAACATCTTATAGTGCTGTGTTTGTCCTTTCAAAGTGAAGTTGTAGTTATTGATATGTAATATACAAAGAGATTTAGAACTTTTGGCCATCCTATTTTCCTTATGATCAAGCATCTTGAAGTGGAAAAAGAAATATACCCACAGATATTTCTATGCAAAACTAGGTAACAGGAAGAACCTGCTTACAAAGTTTGAGTGTATAATTTTAACTTTTTTTTTTTTTTACAAACTTCCAAGTCAAATTCAAGGTGGCCACCTCCTGCCACCATAACAAACCTTCACTGTCAAAATCCTAGATGGCTGCCTGTCAGCCATTTTGTTTATCTGATCAGTCTTAAAAGTGAATATGCACAACTAAGGACCCAGGGGAACCGACATAAAAAATTGACAAAGATCTGGTACTTCCTGAGAAATAGAGATAACAAGAATTGTTTAACGACGGACCACAGACGCTGGGCGATTTGAATAGCCCAACATCAGCTAATGGTGCTTTTCAGGTACTAGTCCTTGACTAACATGGTTTTGGACCCATGTATTTAAATGTCAAAATAATGTATCAATTTGAAAATAAATGCTGTTTAAAGCTTTGAGGCCATGTTCTAAGGGTGTCTAGTTGTAGGGGTACTCACAAAACCAAACAACATATAACTTTATGCATTTTATTCCTCAATAGAATATTTTGACAATATTTTGAGAACGATTTCATTAATTTTCAACTCATAATAGATGATGATGAATGATGATGATAATGATAATAGATGAGGATGAAATGATGATAAATTCCTGATGAATAGAGAATATCAAGGAGCAAAGCAAACAGCTGTGATATCGTCATACATGTTATTTATTCATCAATTTGTACAAACCATGGACAAAGTAGGGTCATTTCACCACAGGTCCTGGAACACTAACAGTACATCTCCTATAGACATATGGTACCAGTATATCAATTTGTTCAATGCTATATAAGCCTATCGACACATCTGTTTTACATGGACAGACTCTCGTTTTCTGTATCCCGAGGCACCATGTTGGTAGGGGACCTCCCCAGACAATTAGTCGCCTTAATCACTTGGTCGGACACAGCCCACTGCAGGATAAATAAATACATACAACAAAGTATAGGACACCTTCCTGCTCCAAGCAGTCAACAGAACAGGGACACAATATCAAGTATTCAAGGAAATACAATAACTACAAAACAAGACTGCAAATTAATCAGGCAAAATAATAACTACAATTCAGATACATCCCAACTTTTAGATTAACACCTCGCCTTCCATCAGAATACTTGCTTTCTGTACAGAATTTGTCTATATATTCACTTCTTCTGCCTACAGCACTTTTATAATTACTGTACAGAATTTGTCTATATATTCACTTCTCCTGCCTACAGCACTTTTATAATTACTGTACAGATATTTTAACACACAGTCTGGAGTACCAAGGGATGCAACAACATCCCAATCCATTGGCAGACTTTATAAATGAGCACTTCTATAGTACACAGGCTTTTCTGAATGTTAGGGCTGTGGATTTAACAGAGAAACATATACACACTGAGATAATACCACTTCTAGATAGTAAAATCTGTTAATTTAGCACTTTAATAGAGAAAACAGTCTCCATATTGGAAACATTACACACATCTTCACCGATATGTTACATATGGGCAATGCTGAATATTTCATTCATAAAATACCTAACATCACTACTCCAGCACTCTCAACAGGTAAGATAGAACAATGAAGCTACAATACACAGATTGAGCATCTGCACTATTTTCAGAACAATGTAGCACTCTTTTTCACACCTTATATTTCTGCTCCAAGCCTAACCCGTTATCCCACAAGTAAAGATTACATATATGTGCTGAATAACAGCTTACTTGCAGAGAGACAGGGTTATCTGACCAGGGCTTCTTTGGGGTCAGGGAGAATTAATAAGGAGATATATTGGGTCGGGAGAATGTTTCAGGGCCTTTCTTGAAAAGGGAGAATGAATCGGGGCTTACTTGGATAGGGAGAACTAATCAGGACTTCTGGTCTCCCTGAACTAGGGTTGAAGCAAAGTCAATGGAAATGTATAGCTACTATAAGGTACCAATAATGTGGAACAAATTGAAATTATATAAGCATTATGCTATAATATATACAGGGTAAATCTCCTTTAAAACTAAACAAGTGTTATTTGGGGGTAGATAACATGAATCAGGGCTCATCTGGGATGCAGAAACAACTATTTAGGATTTATCTAGGGCAGGCAGAACGAGTGGAGGAGAACAAAAAATAAGTTATAAAGCACTGATCTGCCTAGGCCAGACATTGTTTCTTCACAAAAAACACATATATTGCACAAGGAGTCTAGTTTTAACCCTTCAGCTTAGGGAGTGTAAACTACTTTCTGCAGCATGCTTCGAATATGTTTGCAGCCAGATAAAGTTCTTTCCTTGTCGAGAATGATGCAAATCTCACAGAAATATGAAAGTAGTAAACATGGCACCATGTAACATTCCAAGATTTATTATACCTATATTAAAACAAAAGGTTGTCTTAAATACATCTTCAACATAAAAATTGATGTTTGTACATCAACATTTTTCAAAAGAGACGGGTGAATTGTTTTACATCAGTGGCAGGAATTGTAGAACATTTCTGTATCTCCTTCTATGCTCCCGTCACTAAGAATCAGTCCGGCATCATACAGGCTAGTAGTAGAGTGAGGTGCTCTGCTAATTACAATAACAAATAAATAAGTGGGTGGCACTATTAGCACTAGTGGGGTCTTATTATGAAATCTAGACTCTGCACATACAACAGGCAAATATACTAATCAAAATATAAATGGGGAGAATTTTTTTACACACTATCACATCAGCTACCCAACAGGTTTTCACACACATTCCGTTTCTCCCATCAGCACACACAACCATACCACATTTTGCTGTTATCAAACATCGACAGAAATCAAACAATTTCCAATTTCTAATCACCAGATTCAACATAATTCAACTGACACTTCAACAATTTTACGATATTTTTTTTTCTTCTTTCCTATCTATCATCTCTTCCTGTTCCTTTGAAGAGAACAAGTCGGTCCTTCTCGTGATGTCTTGAACACACTGTTCGTCCGAGTGTCACATGAAAAGAACACATTAACACAGCCCTGCGCCTCCACCTATGTTAGAGCTAACAACTGTCGGCCACCTCAGGCCAATCCGAAGCCCTCTGAGCACTCGTTTATTGCTAACAGCAGCATACGCCTAAGTTTGTCGTAGGTTTCGTACGCTGGGAGATCAAGTTGGTTGAAGCTGAAAAAGTAATGAATTGTTTATTATAAAGATTTCATTTGTTGTCACTATATAGTTTTACAGTTATGCAGTCGATTCCACATTGCTTAATTGTATACAAGTACATACTGCTTGCTTATCACTTAATTTGTGCAAATGGTTATTTAAACAATTCTCTTATGATATTTGCAAGGATTTTTAATCCCAAAGGAACAAGAGGCCAAATGGGCCTGCATCGCTCACCTGGTATCACAATTGAAACCTTAAAAGTGGACTAAAATAAAGCTTGAAAAAATATCAGTGTCTTGACTCTCGAGTCATTCAAAAGAACCTGTTAAAGATTTAAACACACATGATCCCTGTGACCTTAAAAGTCAAACAAGGACATGAAGTTGAACAAAATAACAAGGACATTAAGTCGAACCAACGTTATAGCCTTTCATACCAGAATGCAACTTGCCAAATATCACCACCCTATACCCTTTGTTTATAGAGAAGATTGTTGACCAGATGTGACCTTGAAAGTGTATCAAGGTCATTCATTTGAACACACTTGGTAGCCCTTCATACCAGAATGGTTATGGCCAAACATCATCATCCTAGGCCTTATGAGGTTGGAAATAAAATCTTGACGCCAGACAATGGACAGACGACGCACCACGGCATAAACTTACTTTTCCCTTCAGATAGGTGAGCTAATATTTACCTTTATTATTCCTCGACTATTTCTGTCTGAGCTAATATTAAAGAGACATTTGAATTTGATTGTCACACCTTGCGAAGAGAATGTAGTAAACCCAATATTTGAATGTTTCCATTTCAATATCATTCACATTTTGTTCATGTGAGATTACTTCAATAATTTTACTTGAGTTTCCACATTCATGAAAGTATCGAAAATTCTACCACTTCTGAAATAGAAATGTTATTTAAGTAGAAACTGTAAGATATCCTCTATTACCTTGAAAGTTCCACTGTTATGATTAGCAAATTCCATTAATACACATGATCTGAACCCAATACTTGCATCACACACACTACAGTGCTATTGACGGCCAAATTTGTCTTACCAAGTATGTGCAACAGGCAGTCTTTCTGTCGACCTGTCGTCACGATGGATCTGGAATTTCTGGTATCCGTTCATACCTTCCAGGAAGGCAAATCCCTGCAGAGGTACCTTGGATGTTCCTGTAACAAACTGCAGGAACTGCGCCCTGTCCGATTGCTCAAACGATCTTAATGCCCGCCAGAACCATTGCACCTGAAAAAGCACAATACCCAGTCATAAACTACTGATCTGTTCATTGGAAAAAAATCACATAGGTCTTCCCTCATCAGCCAATATGCATATATTCTTTTCACATGAAGTGAAGGTCACATTGACTTTATTACAATGTATCTCTTCAACAGTTCACAAGTTCCAGCAATTTTAGAATCTAGACGTAAATGTCATGGTGACCTTATTTTACAGAGCACAGCACACCTTCTTTGGGTGATGCAGGTACACTTGAAGTTTCATCAAGATGTTTCCAACATTTCAAAAGCGATAATGCCAAAAGGATTTGGTAAGCAGTAAGAACTAACAATATCTCCATTCACAGACATAATGAAATTCATAATAACATATTAATAATAAAGCATTCAAGAATTCACATCCGGTACATCAAGCTTTCAATTTCAATTTGATTGTGAAATTTTCCCCCCATTAAATTTAAACACACCTGACAAATTTAAACAATTAGATTAACCTGTAATGACGTGCTCCGATACTTGTGGTACTAAGTGTTAGACTTGAGGTCATCAATGTCGATGTTTGACTTACCTGTAGTGACATGCTCCGATACTTGTGGTACTCAGTGTTAGACATGAGGTCATCAATGTCGATGTTTGACTTACCTGTAGTGACATGCTCTGATACTTGTGGTACTCCGTGTTAGACATGAGGTCATCATGTCGATGTTTGACTTACCTGTAGTGACGTGCTCTGATACTTGTGGTTCTCCGTGTTAGACTTGAGGTCATCAATGTCGATGTTTGACTTACCTGTAGTGACATGCTCTGATACTTGTGGTACTCCGTGTTAGACTTGAGGTCATCAATGTCGATGTTGGGCAGGCCAGAGATTAACAGCTCCAGTTCCTGTTCGTTGAATATAGAGATGAGCCTCTTTGGGATGATGTCGTAAAAACCTTCCATGAATGCGTTGAGCTGTTTCCTGATGGCGCCAGTCATCTTCATCCGACAGACAAGTTTCACATATTCTTTCTTGTTACCCTCTGTCACTATCAGCTTGTTACCATCCAACTTCAGGTCACGCGATTCAGTAACACCAAACTCCTGGATCTGATGATGAAAATAGCACAAGAATGAGAATGGATGAAGCCCGATATTATGAAGCATCAAATTGGTTTAGATATGTCATAATATCAGACTAGTATAATATGTTTTCATGAATCATGATGTTGGTTTAAATGATCTATGTAATTGGCTACCCTTTGCCCAATACATTATGGATGTGTGGTGTTTTGTTACCTTCTCCAGGTTCTGATATAGTTTTATCCAGTGAACTGTTTGGTGATATTTCCTTCTATCAACCACAATTCATATCCCTTAATCAATCACAAGTATTGAAGTAATATCTATTATAACAGTCTTTGATATTAGATACAGGCCAACACATAATATGATCCTAACATATTAGATGCTTTCCACCAATCTAAGGATCTGTTCTGATCAATACATACCTCTGTTGAAAAGGCCAGGTCATATCCTATATCTTTGACATCGTTTTCCAACAAGAACACTAGTCCCTGGTAGAATGCATAGTCTTCACTTTCCATGTCGGTGTACCTGTAAACAAACATCACAGCCATGTCAGTAAAACAATTGTACATCATTTGTCTCGGACCAACACTGGATGACTACAACCATATTTACAGAAAATATAGCAGTTACTTGTCCAAGGTAACTTAAATCAAATTTTGTGTTAAAGCTAAAATCACCTTTTCTATATTTAAACAAATTTTCTTTTGATAATTAAATTGTTTATCAACATCATTTAATTGTTTATCGTCATAAATGGCCTTATCAATCAGAATGGAAGTTAGCAAATCAGTTTTTAATTGACCTATGTACAAATGTTAATTATTTTGCACTGTATCACCCAAGAATCTGTTTAAGAGATGAAAGTCATTGATAATACGTACTTGACAGTCTGTCCTATAATGTGTTTGTAGAAGGAGCGAGTAAAATAGCACTCAAGTAGCTTGTTGTCGTAAATAGCCTTGGCAATAATACGTCCCACAAACTTGTAGTAGCTCAGGTGGTTACTGTTGCAGTGGGACGAGGGATTGATTGTGTAGGTAACACGGTCCCCGGGGGAGGTACTGAACAGTGCGTACATCGGATTGAAGATCTCTCGGGCAATGATGATGTACCACTCTCTCAACAGTCCTCCAGCGTCCTGTCCTTCCTCTCCTGTAAAGAATCAAACACCATCATAATTACAAACAACAGTCAGGACTTATTGTGGACAGAAATATTACAATGTATTCTCTATCCAAAACTAGAAAGCCCCCACTCCCAAGCAAAAATGTCTATAAACAGTGGTGATCTCAGCCTTGACCATTCGAGACATTCTCAAACTTGGCCTTTGAATTAAGTTTGATCAAAATAAGTTCAAAAGTTGATAGTGATGTCACTGAATAAGTTGACAAATTTCTATAAATATCAACAATGACCTTTGAACCTTGCAATACAGACTCATTTGATGCATTCTCATACTTCACTTTTGTATAAAGTATGATCAAAATCATTTAAGAATTGAAGTCACTAGATCAACAAGAGCACCACAAGCGGAAACAAGATAGAGCCCTCGGAAGGGTATCAATATTTTGGAAGCAGGTATGATATGATATGATATATATGATATAAATGTGTTTACTGCCACCGTTTTGTTGGTGACTGTGACCCTGCCATCCATTTACTGTGTTTATGGCGTAAGCTATTTTGTGTTCCATAATTACACTTTCGTGGTCAACGTTGTTATTACTAAAACTAGGACCTTGGATTTGAGGTAGGAGTGCTTATATGAGAAGTGGGAACGCAACAATAAAACCCGGCGTTACATATGTTTAAACATGTTTGGATTTTGTATTACCATACTAAATTTGAAAGGAATCTGCATTTTCGATGGAATGCCCTTATTTGACAATGAAAAAGGGGTATAACTCTGCCAAATAGCATTTAAATGTCACGATTTCAGAACTCATTCAAAGCATTCAGGCAATGAAACAACCATCTAGTTTAATTTAAAAAAAAAATAACATCCCACCAAGTTTGACAAAAATTGAGGAACAATTGTTTGAGTTATTGCGTTAACAAACAAAAGTTAACGGCTAAAACAATGAACAGCGTTGCTATGTTAAAGTGTGATATGCCAAAGTTGAAACTCAACAGAAAACCCCGTAATATATGTTAAACATTACTGCTTCTAGCATTGCCGTACAAAATTTGATAGAAATTGATTAAAAAAAAAAAAAGTTCACAATGCCCTCATTTGGCATTGAAAGGAGCATAGCCTCACAATGAAAAAGGGACAAAACTCTGCTGAATAGCATTTAAATATCACAATTTAAGATCTCATCTAATGCATTCAGGTAAAGAAACATCCCACCAAGTTTGACAAAAACTGGAGATCAATTGTTTGAGATATCAAGCAATAGTTAACTGCTAAAACGATTGCCATGTCAAGTGTGTTATGCCAAAATGCGAAAGTTGAAACTATACAGAAAACCCTGTAACATGTGTTGAACATAAATGCTTCTAGCATTACTGTACAAAATTTGAAAGGAATTGATCAATAAATATTTAGAGGCCTATGGGTCTTAACGGTCATACCAATTTGAGTAAAAAATAGTTAAGTATAATGTTAAGTTAAAGTTGTCAGGACCACGAGTTAATCATTCCTAGACAGTTTCAGTTAAATCTTCCTATTAGAACTTGGGGATTTTAAGTTTGGAATAGGTGTTTTTTTCAAAATGGCAGCTGTGGTGGCCATACTGGATTTTTGATCGATCCGAAAAATAACAACACTTTGTCAGGACCATGAGTCGATCATTCCTACCAAGTTTCAGTTCAATCGGCCGGGGTAGAACTTGACATAAAGTTTGAAATAGTTTTTCAAAATGGCGGCATTGGCGGCCATATTGGATTTATGATAGACCCAAAAAATAACAACACTTTGTCAGGACCATGAGTCGATCATTCCTACCGAGTTTCAATTGGCGCAGTAGAACTTGACTTGAAGTTAGAAATAGTTTTTTAAAATGGCGGCTGTGACAGCCATATTGGATTTCTGATTGACCCCAAAAATAACAACACTTTGTCAAGAACATAAGTTGATCATTCCTACCAAGTTTCAGTTAGATTGGCCCAGTAGAACTTGACTTTAAGTTTGAAATAGTTTTTTAAAATGGCCGGCCTTAACGGCCATATTGGAGTTTTGATCGACCCAAAAAATAACAACACTTTGTCAGTACCATAAGTTCGTCATTCCTACCAAGTTTCAGTTAAATCAGCCCAATATATGACTCGTCGTACGACGGGCACGAAATAACACCCAATCGGACCAGGACAGGGCTACAAAAAACTCTGAAAATTCACTTAGTGCACATTCTAACTTACTCTACTTTCCATTTTTCATATTTACCTTCAAACACAATGTAGAACCTGTGTTTCCATTCATCCACAGTACGTCTAAACAGCTCCCTGAAGGAGTCCTCAAATACATGCTCTCGCCGCACATGAACAGCCAGGTCTTCACGACGCAGGCCCTCATCTAAGCGTTCCAGTTCTTGGCGGAAATAGCGGCGCTTCACATCAAAGTCTAGGATGCGTGTATGGTCAACGAGGACGGAGAAGGGGCCGTCCACCAGGGGTGTGGTAGACTGGCGCAGGATCTGGTTAAGTACCGTCCTGTGGGTCTCTTTAAACAGACATGTAAGTGTTACTAGCCATTTCAGGATCACACATAAGGCTAATTCTTTCATATTTCCCCCTAAAATACATTGTCCCATTTACATGTCAGACTTTTTAGAGACATATGTTTTGCTATGTCCTTGGTACTTCACAGTAGATGGGGTTTTTTTGGTATGTATGGTATTTTTTAAAACTTCAAGTTCTAATAAATTTGACCATAAAAAAGGCCAGAAATTTGAATTTGAACAGCTACCAAAATCAGTCAATTTGAGGAATGAACCAATGAGGTGTGGACTGCTACCCAAGCTAGTCAATTTGAAAATGTTATTAAATAATGAGGTAGGCTTACCTGCGAACTTGAGGAACTTCTGGGTGTCTGGTGGGAGGTTAGTTATGGAGGACATGGAGGCCACAGAGTTCTCTCTGTTCAGAAGAGGAGGATCAGACTGAGCCGCTGGGGATGCTGGGGCTACATCAAGATTGAGGTGGGCCAATTGATCCTCACGCTTCTGTGACGGCTGGTCTCCTGACTTGGCATCCTTCTCTCCTGGGGGACACATTACAAATATACAGCTACAGCTACATATTGTACAATAAGTAAACTAGATAATAGCAAATCAAGTAAAATACTGTCACAATTATTTCTGAACTACTTTTCTAGTTGCTATGAATATTGTCTCCTGGGAAATGTTTGACCAGTCGAACTTTGACCCTTCACATGGAAAAGCCATATTCAGTTTGTTTATTTTACCTTTCACATGCATATATGTCACTGTGTACCAATATTTCATGTTATTGGTGACAGTATAATAACATCCTTTCAAAGAGCAATATAGAGGAATTGTAAACATGCTTGCTGCCTTACAAACTGATGCATGTGTCAGACCTTGTCACACAGAGAATAGGAAAATAGTGGAAGCTATGTTGATACCTGCATGTACGATGAAGAAGGCCTCAACGGCGGGTTGTAATATAAGGACGGCGTGATGGTCAGGTGTCTTGGCAAGCTCGGAAAGACAGTCTCCTAGGACCGTCCATAAGTCGTCCAGCAGGACCTGTTCGCTGAGGCGTGGTAAAGCATTTGTCTCATCTTTCTCTTTCTTATCTCCTGAAGTACCTACAATATAGCCATGACTTTAAGGGGAAGTCCTAAGCGGAAATCAACATTGAGTTAAGCGAATACATGTTCGTTTCATAACTTGTTGTGCTTAAATAAAACAAAATGGAGTAAAATAAAGAAAGTAAATAAAACAAAGTGAGGAGGTAGTCAACGATATCATTCCCCCATTCCCACAAACTGATAACATACAACCTTTGACCCTTTAACTTTGACTGATGACCATCAAATCATAATCAGAGATGGAACTCAAGGTTATCATACAATGGTGAATATGAATTGAACCTGTTACGGGGTTTATGAGTTGTATACAAGCTTATTACTATGTACAGATGCACTGACAAAGCAATTACTATAAAACTCTCCTGTATTAAGTGAGCTATAAACACTTTCCCTGAAAATTCCATTTAAAACTAGATGCAACTTTGATTGATCAGGAATTGGTGGGAGTTATGGGCATGTGGATTGGAAGAATCAAGTGAAGAGTTTATATACTGCAAGTCTCACGTTACATAGGTTAGAGTGACCTACATATGGTACGAGACACACCGCCTTCCATGCATGTACCCACAAACCAAGATTCATAACGGTAGGTGAAATAGTACTGGAGATATGCTCCGGAAACCTTTCGGACGGACGGACGAAGCGGGGGTATAAAAAGGTACAGCAGCTTGGCTCCAACAAAACAAAGATACTGGCATTTCAGTAGGCAACGAGTTAATGATTGCATGCCATGAGTCTTACATTTGCTGTAGCTGCTACTCACCTGGCTGATCTATGTCCATAGGTGTTTCAGCGCCCGATTCACGTGCAGACTCTGTTGGCGTGGGCTGATCACTGCCCCCAGTGGGAGCTACCTCACCTCCATTTGCTCCGCCTGGCTCCCCAGTGGCTGTAGAAGTTGGAGTGGCCTCTGAGGGTTCAACCTGTGCCGCAGGTGTGGCACGCTGTTGTAACTCACGGATCTGATGGTTCTGTTGTGCACGTCGTCCAACCATTTCTATGATAGCCTCTGCCTCAGCCTCCAGGGCTGCCATAGCTTCTGCAATGTTACCTAAATCCCGTGAAGCTGAAATGTAGAAACAAGAGATGTCTAACCTTAATCATCTAAGAATTATTTTAGGGAATGCTATCAGGCTCATCTTGAGCATGTATTCTGATCCTCACCACAGACTGGAGATTATCACCAAATCTCATCATAATTTTAACCAAGACGGTACTATTATCTGACAGGTATCATGATCTTGGGCTGTTAATGGATCTTGTAGAGTGATATGGAAATGACATGTTATATTCTGTACAAGAACAAGAGATAAGAATTTGACCATACTCGTTTGTCTACGGCCTCGTTTGACCATGGTTCTGGCAGCGTCTCGGAGCTGGATGATGACTTTGAGGATACGAAGCAGGAACTGCTGGCTGGACGACTTGTTGGTCAGTAGGGACATGGATGGCAGCTGCAATTCGCGGCCACCCTTTACCTTCTTAGGGGCCGCCACCACTATGTTGGTACCCTGTGAAAACCTGACCAAAAAAAACAATGTCAAACCAGCTGATTTTCAATACTTTAATCAGGTATATATACAGCCAAACCCAGTTCTATCAAAGCTGTTGAGACCAGCAAAATTCTGAACCAATATATCCTAACCCAACAACCTTACACCAACAACAAAGAAATTAACTTTGAGATCAATCCAGGATTCATGATATCTTAGTTTGTTATAAGAAAGCTTTAAGGTAAATGATGAGCTGTCAACAGTAGTAAAATGACAGAAAATATTCAGATAATTGACCATCCTAATCCCCTATAAAACCATATGAATCTGAGATTTTACCTGTCCTGAAGAATGCCTTTGCCTGTGGGAGCGTAGGTGCCTTCAGCATCCTTCATCTCCTCGTCCTCATCCTTAGGCCTCCCGCTGTGTTTCTTGAGTTCTTGTAGAAGATTCCTGTAGAATTACAAAAGCATGACATGTAGCAGCTGGTCTGTCTGACATTGACTCAAGATCTTTTTTCACTATTAAAGAAAGAATACATAAGCTAACAGATATTAATAGATTCATTTCAGATCCTACCAACAAAGCTTTCAGTCAAAAATCATGACTCTAGGCCTGTCTGTTCTTCAGAAGAAGTCGTTTGAAGTGTTCGACACATTTGACCCCTGTGACCTTGAAAGAAGGTCAAGGTAATTTTCATTCTCAAACTTTGTTGGGCTCCATCCCAGGAATCCATCAGCCAAATATGAAGATTCTATACCTTTTAGTTCTTCAGAAGAAGTCGTTTGAAGTTTTTGACATATTTGACCCTGTGACCTTGAAAGTAGCTTTCAGGCAGGTGAGCTTAAAATGGCTAAAAATAGGGGGTAGGGGTAACTAAAATCGGCTTTCTGAGTTAAAAGAATTTGATTAAGAAATTTTACTTCCATAATTTAAAAGAAAATATGATTAAAAATTTTTATTTCCATAATTTAAAGAAAATAATATTTTCATCAATTCTACAAAACATTCATACATATCTGATAACACGCTTGGAAGAAATTGTATGAATTTGTTCTGCAAATGGTCAAAATCCCAAAAATCAACTCAAATCACATGTTGTGTTAAATTGGTATCTTTGACCGATCATAGCACAAAAACGAACACACGGACATATATTTTGTTTTGCATTTTCTAATAATCCATTAACTCCTTTTTCCAAAAATCCATATAAGAAAACAGGAAGTTTTTGACTTCTCAGAGGTGTACATCCTTAAGGTTACCAGTGTGAGATTTATACCAGGTGTGTGATTGATTGCAGGCCCATTGGGCCTCTTGTTTTTAGGATTGTACAATTAATTGCCTTGAATGTGAGGACAGGGTTTTTCTGTAAAGATTAGATACCACTAAACATTTTGCTTGTTGTGTTGTTAACCATTAGAAACCATTTTGCTTGTTGTGTTGTTAACCATTAGATATCATTTTGCTTGTTGTGTTGTTAACCATTAGATACCATTTTGCTTAGTGTGCTGTTAACCAATTGTGTACCTGATGTGGCTACAGACAGTCTGTCCCAATTCCTGTGTGCCCTCAAGAAGAAGCCGTAGGACAGCATTTCTTGTGGCATTGTTGGCCCAAGACATACGAAGTAGTAAGTTTGTGGCATCTTCTAGTCCCTCCTCAGAACAGGACTTGGATGTCAGCACCTGTCAGTACAAAATCATCAGTTTTACCGATTCTCTATAGTGAGATAAACACTCTAGTATCCACTTTCAGTTTTGTTGCTTCTAACTTACAGATATTGTAGTAGCTATGATACCAAGATTGCTGATCAGAACAGACCAACATCCAACGATGCTAATCACTACATTTATGTGACACTGTCTTACGACCGGAGATGTCACAACAGTACACCACCGGAGATACACAGTGCTAAATAATGAAAGGAACCTGTCCCATTTTCTTATTAATGTTAATTTGCATCAATATAGCATGCGTTTGTAGTAACAAATCTTTATCTACGTAGTAGTTTATTGTACATACTGGGGCATATTATAAAACATTCACGACTATATACACAAAACCACCACCCACTTTCTACATACCTTGACAGCAAGCTTGAGCTGATCCTCTAATATAACAGGTGCTTCCTCTATCTCCTCCTCCACCTTTTTTGTATCTACAACACACAACCATACTCATCATCCCATATAAATTAATACTGTATACGAAGCCTAATGGCAAAAACTTACAAATGTCTGTCAGTCTCCAAATGAAAGTTTCATATTTCTTTCATCTTAAGAACAACTTTTGAAGGCTATAGAAGGTCGTGTTTCTATAAGCAGGGTAAAACTAAAATATTCTCAATAAAGAAGATCTAACTCGGTGCTCCCGACATGGTGTTATTACATGGTTACAAACTGTAAACAGATCTGATTTTTCAGCAGAGCTAACCTTAGTTTATTCATTTGGTAGAATCACATTTGTACAACTTGAAAATGTGTCTCTCTGCTCCTGTTTTTAAGAACTAAAGCAAGGTCACAAAGATGATTAGCTGCAGTACTTGGTCCATAACTGACCTAAAATGCAGAGACTTGACTAGCCAGATGTATGTCACTGAGGCAGGACATAAAAGATTGTTATACTGACCTTGGCTGCCAAATTTAAGAGTAATGGAATCATTAGAATCCTTGGACATAAAGACTACAATCTACTGAGTTATACATGTCTTATAATTATATACTCGCCTTCAGACTTGGCCGACACTTTGACTTCAAGGGGCGTGGTGGTGCTGTGTGTGGAGCTGGGTGTAACCACCTCAGTAACAGCCGGTGTTGTCAAAGCTGATGTTGCTGTGGACATTGATGTTGAAGTGGCAGTTGTTGGGGTGACAACAGAAGGTGTTACCATGCTGGACAGTAGACTAGGCATGGTACTGGTTGGTGCCTGTGAGGTGGCACGGTTACCTCTTGTGGCATCAGGCAAGCTCATAGACACAAGTCCAAGCAATCTCAGTAGCCGGTCAGTGAGCAGCTGGCTGCGCTTCACCACTGGGTGAGATAACATCAGCATCAGCTGGCCAAGCGGAGATGATTCAAAATTGTAGAAATTAGCTTCACCTTCTGTATTGCTGGTATTGTGAGTCCGTTGAACACCTTTACCCTTACGATTCATATTCACATTGTCTAATTTTATAAGATGGTCCCAAAAGTCTGTTTCTGACTTTGGCGATTCGGCTCCTGACGTTGATTGTTTGGGACTGCTCTGGGCTGGCTCTGGGACACTTTCTTGTCGCTCCTCCACCTCTGCCTCCTCACATTTGCCCACTTCCTTCGCTTTGCAAGTGGGCAGAAATTGACTAGGGAACACTTTGGCTAGGGCAATTAATGTATCAAGAACATGTCTACACACAACAGGAGCAGCCTGGGGATGCACTGTCACAGTGCCAGTACATGAACCCCCAGGTACATGTTTTTTGCCCACTTTCTGAATCTGGAAGACGTTTGCACGACACCCTAGGGCAGCCTCTAGACTAATGGAGAGCCATGACCCCTGGCTCTTAGTGTCATATTTCCAAGTGACATCAGGGGAAGAATTTGTAGCCTTCTTTTTCCCCTTGTCTCCAGCAGCACATTTTCCTTCTTCCACAATGCCATCACCAGTCTTCTGAAGAATTGAGAGAAGAGCACGAATGACCCATATCCTCGTGGGACTGTGGTAGCACAGATTGCGCAGGACACGATGTAGCCTGCTAGTGTTTATCTTTGGTTCATCCACAAACAACAAAACAATCAGACATGTGAGTGCCTCATGATCCAACAGATGTCGTCCCCGGAATTTGATGGCATTCACTCCACTACTGGAGGAATGGTTGTCCATACGATTTGAACCCCAGGCCCACTGGTTGCTTCCACGTGGCACAGCACGCAAGGCATACCTCCCTGCACCCAACCGACCAGCAAACCCTACACAAAGAAAGGCAACTAGTTAGATATATCGGAGGGAAAATTTCCTACTTTTTCATCACTAGAAACTTTTGTGGTCTGCTGGTATGTTTGAACTTGGTCTGCACAGTTTAGTCATTATCATCATCTGCTGTATTTGTATTTGTGGTTATAAACTGCAGATGTTTCACGTTAAACTGTACTTAAAACCTGAAAATAATTTTACATCGCACACTGGTGTGGACAGATTAACAGCCCTTTTTAACCACTTTACTGCTAATTGCTATATTATTATATGTACTTGTAAAACACAGGGCCAGAGGCCTGTATCGCTCACCTGGAAATGTTAACAAAATTGAAGTTAGAATTGCATGATGTCACTGGAAGTGTACATGTATTACATGGTTAGTCAGGGGTTATATTTATATGCAATTGGACAAAATCTTGTCATTCCTAAAATAAAAGGAGGATTTCGAAGAATTTGCTATGTTTCCCCTATTGGGCCCCGCCCCTCTGTCCCCAGGGGGGTCAGACCCATCGCTGATACAAAATTAGTTCCCCTTCACCCAAGGATGCTTTAGACCAAATATGGACATAATATTGTCATTCCTACAGCAGCAGTTTCCTCTTTGGCCATGCCAAAAAGGGGGGGGGTCAGACCCATTGTTTATACAAAACAAAGTTCCCCTTCTACCAAGGGTGTTTCATCCCAAATTTTACAAAATTCTGTCATTCCTACAGAAAAGAAGGATTTTGAAGAATTTGCTATGTTTCCCCTATTGGACCCCGCTCCTCAGCCCCCAGGGGGGCCACAATCACTGTTTATACAAAATTGAGTCCCTGTTGTCCAAGGACGCTCCAGACCAGATTGGGATGAAATCCCTTAATCCCTATGGTAGAAGAAGGAAAGGTTTTTACCTCTATTTCCCCTAATGGGTCCCGCCCCTCTGCCCCCAGGGGGGCTACATCCACCGTTTATACAAAATTGAGTCCCCTTGGGCAAACGATGCTCCAGACTAGATTAGGGTAAAATCCTTTAATCCCTACAGAAGAAGAAGGATTTTAAAGGTTTTACCTCTAATTCCCCTATTGGGCTCTGCCCCCAGGGGGGTGCAACCCACCATTTATACAAAATTGAGTTCCCTTGGCCTAAGGATGCTCAAGACCAAATTAAGTCAAAATCTACTTGGCCGTTCAGGACTAGTAGCGTTTTAAAGGAAAAGTTGACGGACGGACGACAGACGCTGCAGTATTGCATAAGCTCACCATGGTCCTTTGGACCAGGTGAGCTAAAAACACTGATTTATGATCATTTATTTTACAAAACCATGTTCCACCAATCATATTTCAAGATTAGTCAAGTGTACCAGTGTGTCTTAGGATGGCAGATAGAGAACCTGCTCCAGCTTGTGCGAATAGACGATCTTGCATGAGTCGCCGATGTCTATCCTCCAGTTCCCTTCGAAGTGACTGTGCTTCTGCAGCCAGGTCGGGTGGCAGGACAGCAACCATGCTGTCATCCATATCAGCCAGGACCTGTTGTCGTAGAGATGAAGGAAGTGTAGCCAGGAAAGTAGCAGGATCCACCGGAGTATCTGTACCAGGCTGAGCAGGAGTACTCTGGGCCTGCAGACGTGCTTGTTCTGTTCTCTGTTGGGCTAGTACCTACAAGAAACAAAAGTGTTTTTTAGCAAGGTCAAAGGTCATCAATTTTCTTTCCAGGAAGTCTCTCATTAAAGGGCTAATTTTTCCAATTTAGTTTTAACACCATGACGCCGTAGCACTTCCAGAGTGCTTACCTCTTCCTGTATGTTTGGGGGTAGTGCAGCCAGAAACTCTGCGTTGACCTCCATGGTGCCACTGCTGTGAGCACTCTGGGCCTGCTCTCTGGCACTTTGCTGGATCCGCTGAAGTCGAAGCTGCTCCGCGATCACTTCCTGGCGTATATTGTCAGGAAGGGCATCTAAGAATGATGGATCAACACCTTCAGGGACAGAGGGGTCTGAAAAACAGACAACTCACTTTAGAGAATCAATGTTATATACATGGTAGAATATAGTTAACAAAATAAATAGGTGGGTGTGTATTCATAAATTACAATCAATAAATGTTTGTGACTCTTAAATTTTGCAAGTATGCTTAAAATGACACCAATGTTACCATTGCAATGTTCCTAGAAAAGTGAAAATACTGCTTGGTGTGTCCAGAGGAAATGTTCTATTGACTGTTCATTTAACACCTGGATGTTTATTCATATAGGGATTGAATAGAATTTTTTTCATGTTCATTGCGGCCTAGCTCTCCACAGGATATGTAGATCAGCTACTGCTATTCATTGCCGCTATGTACATGAAACAAGAGGCCCATGGTCCTTAACTGTCACCTGAATTATGTAACAAGAATCGCTCACCTGGTATTAATCTCACACTTGTAATCTTAAAAGTGGACTAAAATACAACTACAGGCAGAATATCAGTGTTTGATTCATAAGAACCTTTTAAAGGATTTAAACATATGATGCCTGTGACCTTGAATGTCGAACAAGGACATTAGGTTGAACAGAGTTTATAGTCTTCCAACCCAGCATGCTTCTAGCAAAATATCATTACCCTGGACCTTTTGGTTATACAGAACAAATCATTTAAAGATTTTGGCCTTTTGCTTATTAAGAAGAAGTTGTTTAAATGTTTTAAACATATTTGACCCCTGTGACCTTGAATATAGGTCAAGGTCATTTATTTGAACACATTTGGTAGCACCTCATCCCAGTATGTTACTGGCCAAATATCATTATCCTAGGCCTCTTAGTTATTCAGAAGTTGTATAAAGATTGTTTAAGACAATTGACCCCTGTGACCTTGAAAATAGATGAAGGTCATTCATTTGAACAAAAATATATAGATGAAAGACAAGTTTTATTCTATGCGCTATCTAATTATGCGCTATCTAATTATAACGAAATTGATAACATCATCTTAAAAACTGTTACTTTCACTAAGGGTGATATGAACCTTAGCAGTGAATCAAATAAATGTATTCTCTCATGTGTTCTGGAGTTCATGGAAAAATCTGGAAGATTTTAACTTAAACTAAACTAAAAGTTGTCTTACAATGTGTTTGTATTTGCTATTTTATAACAATAACTCTGGTGTAATTGGGAAGGATGGTACTGTGTATAGTGACAGTGTCTTTGAAGTGTCTCCAACCAAACACCAGGCTATTAATAATTGAAGAAATTAGACTATAGTAATTGGAATGTTAAAATCTATGATATTCTAGTTATTATTTTCTGTGAACATGTATTAAATGGTTCTAGTATTCTCCTATTAATTTGAACATGTATTACATCTTCTCTATAATACTCTCTCTCTATATATAGATGTATATATGAAATGTGTGTATTTTCTCTGGAATGCCTGTGCCTAATCCAATTGTGTTTTTTGAATTTTGGTTATGCAGAAGAAGTTGTTTAGAAGTTTTTAACATATTTGACCCCTGTGACCTTGAAAATAGGTGAAGGTCATTTATTTTAACAAACTTGGTAGCCCTTCATCCCAGTTTGCTTCTGGCCAAATATCATCACCCTAGGCCTTTTGGTTATTAAGAAGAAGTTGTTTAAAGTAAAATATTGACGACAGACGCTGCACCATGGCATAAGCTCAGTTGATTGTTACGTCATTGGTTTGTGAGAGTAACGTCATCAATTTTCGAGAAAACAATGTAATTTTCTCACACAATCCAATGACGTAATAATCAATACCTGCCCACATGAGAAGATAACTCTGCAATACGCAAAGAAGGAATAGTAACCATCCAGGGCACTCGTTGGCTGAGCACCGTCAGCAGTAGGCATTGAGCTCATTTGAAGTTAAATGGACAGCCGTTGAATGTACTGTTTACCAAAAAACGTGCAGATATAAATGATGATAAGTTGGTGGATGAAGTGCCCTGTGTCATTACAAAGTTCTCTGAGTTTAATGTGCAAGTTGATGTCACTGTGATTACCCAGTCGCACGTTTGGGACCAGGGTGTTAGAAAGTTCATGACCATGAGGAACCGATTGAGAGTTCGAGGGGAAAGGGGTCGTTATTCGGCGCCAAATTCTACTATAGGAAAATCCCAGAGTCTGATATCCTAGTGAGGCCTGATCTGCTGCAGCCTGTGGCAAAAGTTAACGGGGTAATACTGTATCTGAAACATAGACACTAACTTTGTGTACCCGATGCACTGCGTGAGGAAGACGGTCCTTCCATAGACCCTGTCGAGCCTAGAGTGGGCATGGTGGTGGTGGCAGTGGTGGGGATAGTCCAGGTAGAGGGTAGTACGCTCCTCAAGTCTGAACCACCTATGGCACCCTCCGTGACAAGACGGGGGAGGGGGATGGATCCAGGGTCCAGGGAGCTGAGAATACTGCTAGGCAGGAGTGGGGTGTTGGGGTCAAGGGGCCCAGAGGTGGAAGTGGGGACGTCTGACATCCCAGTGGCACTCTCTAGCACAGATGACCTGAAAGGTATATAAAAGTTATGTATAAGTTATGAATACATACAAAACATTTTTCATAATTCATAGATTTCTGTCCACTTAATTGCTTAATAGACATATAGTAACCAGAACCTGCTTGAACAAAGGCATGACGCAATCTACTTAAACCATATCCAATTAAGTATTAAAATCATCCTGTTTGCAGTGTGCAAATAATACAAATTATCACATGAATCCTACATTTGAATCAGCACTATAGGTAGTACGGTGACATGTTGACAATTATCACAATGATTTTATGAATGGACTTGTTGAAAGTAAAACTTACATTGAAGCGCCACCCATGAGGAAACTGCGAAGGCCCGAGTCGATGGACTGTGCTGTCTCATGACTGATGATTGGAGATGAAGTGGTGGGCAATATCTCTAGGCCTGACCCAGCTAACTCTTCTGAACTCGCTGTAAACACAAGATCAGCAGTCAAACATTTTGTATTAAAACCCAAAGGTCATACTAGGTCAGAGGTCAAAGAATCTACATTCAAGTTATATTAGTTATATCAGAGGTCATACATAAATCAGTACAAACCTCAACAGTCATACTTATACAAATCAAAAAGGTGAAAAATCGCCATGTATGTTTATCTTTTTGAGGCACTTTCAGAGAAAAATTTTAGAGTGGTTAATTTGTTCAGTCATGAACAATTCAGACTGTGTTTCATCATAATATGCAACTCATCAACTTGATTACTGGCATGCTGTTCAAACCCATTGACAGGCACCAACATGGTTCATAATACTTAATGTCAAAAAGTATACTAACAACAATCTGAAATGTAAAAGACAACATGTACCTATATGTACCTACAGAAAATGCACTTTCAGAGAAAAAAATTAGAGTGATTAATTTGTTCAGTCACAAACAATTCAGACTCTGTAAATCATCATTCAGTGCAATTCATCAACCAAATTGTATGTTCATGTCAGAGCAGCGGACCAAAGCTACTGTACAAGTGAAATTTCAATATTCACCGAGTGTCAAATGTCCTTTTACCACTAAATTAAATGTATTACAAATTTGTTCTCGTCACGACTTATGTAACTAGGGTGATTATGACAACTGGCGAATTGTACAAATTTAGTACCCACTATAAGGTTGTCTTGCCCACCAGTTTCAAAATCTCCCTTAAAAACCTATGTCAACATAAGGTCAGAGGTATAAAGGTTTTTTTTAAAGCTCAAACCAAGCTCTACATCCTAATGGAATATTCAATTAACATTTTTAAATGACACCTACAATCAAACAGTTAAGGATGAAAGTGTGAAGTTAGTTAATTGTCTGATAGTCCAACTGTATCATAGATAATGACTTTCCTAAAAGTCAGGAGTTGCAACTGTATCACAGTGTGACTAATTCATGAGGTACCAACATGCAACCATAAACTTGAGTCCTGCTCACAGCCACATGCCTTAGAAGAATCAACAGTAATCAAAAGAGAATACAAACCAAAGTTCTCCAAATCTATGTCAGAAGTCATCATATCTCAACACAAAACTATCCAAGGCACTTTCAGAGAAAAAAATTAGAGTGATTAAGTTTGTTCAGTCATAAACAGTTCAGACTCTTGCGTATCATCATTAAGTGCACTTGGACCCCATGTTTTAACACTTGTAGCTGCTAGTCTGCTTTTTACTGTGTATTAATATTGTCTCTTGGTTAGGGGTGTGTATCGTGAGTGATGCTGCGATACGATACGTATCATGATACTTGGGTCGCAATACCATACAATGTGTATTTAGCAGTTATTTGAAACCTGTCTTCAATTTCTTATCAGGTCAGTATAATAGGTTCAATATAAATAACATTAAATACCAAAATATACTATTTAGACATCATTTAGTTTTCATATTAATTCACTTCTGGCTTGAATATAATACTAGGATAATACTATCTTGAAACTGCTGTCTGGAATGGAGTGAATTTTGATGATCTAGGGTGTTAATTAATACTTAAAAGCACCATTTTCAACACTTGAAAACGGACGAAGATCATTAGCAATATATTTACCAAATACCCAACATAGAAACAGGACTGCCTTGATTTGACATCTCCTTTTTTAATGTTATAGACGTGTTACGTAGTTTTTCTTCGAACTGGCACAGTAAAGATGGAAGTCTTGACAAGTCATATGTGTGTGCACGTTCACAGTATTTCCCGCATATTTCAGTTTTCCTTGACAATCATTGCAATAAAAGAACAATTTGTCCGTCTTTGTAGAGGTCAGCCTCAGTCCCAATCGGTGCCTGTCGATCCCGATTTGTGACTGTCATTTCGTTTCGAGTTCAAACAGATAACTGAATAAACGAATGATTACCAAGAACTGTATCCTAACAGCAAGTGTTTCACTTATTCTACATCAGAAAACAATAGAATGGCTCTGGCATTCTCTCTTTTTATGGTTACATTGGAAGCACAAATTGAGTACAACTAATATTGTATCAATTTAAGTTTTGCTTAAGCCTACCAACTTTACAAGAAAGTGAAATCCTTTAAACCTTGAACTGTTATGAACTAACCTGATGACTGGACAGTGACCGCCCCCGAGCTGCTGATCCCCGACACCTCCTCTGGAGTGATGCTACCCTCTGTGGGTGCAGCAGGCACAACAGACACAGGCTGGCTACCGACAAGTGGTGCATTTATCTCCCCTAGTCCCCCAAACGTTGATACACCAGTCCGCTGGGAAGCAGGAGCAGGATCTTGATCACTCAGTAGCAAAGAAGCCAGATTCAGTCTGCCATCATTGGGGGCTCTTGGTCTGTTCATACAAATACATATATTTGGATGTATTATTAAGTCTGTCATTTGTACCAAAAGATACAACCTCATAAATTCCATCATATTTCTGTTTGAGATTTCATAATTACTAGAAATTGTCTGGTACCTTTATTAAAAGACTCACTGGCAAATAAAATACTCCAGTAAAACTGTTGTCGTGTTACAAATAGTATTCGCTAGCTGGGCAGATTGTAACACAGCTAGTTTTGTGAACTGAAAAAAGTAAATTTAGTGCCAAATTTAGTACCAACGACATCTAAATATATGTTACATTAAAACACTTATAAAGTGTATCTGTTGAGCTTTTGAGCTGTCAATTATCAAAACTTTTGCTCAAAATATTGTTATAACTACTTGAATCAGTAAATTAACATTACACAATGAAGTTACCTCGGCCTATCTGCCAATGGAGCCCCAGGGGTGATGAGGGGGAGCGGGTTAGCTGGGGTCAGGAACGTTGACATTACCGAGGGTGAGGCTGTGGACAGCAGGCCATCAGGTGGCCGAGATCCTGATTCTGATTCTGAAGGGGTGGCTGTTGACAGAATACCTTCCACCATCTCTGTTGCAATCAACTCTGCTGCTGCAGCAGCCTCCGATGCACCTGTAGCAAGATAAAGGGCAATTATAAACAAGAGGCCCAGATGGCTTGTATCGCTTACCTGGATATCTAAGCAATCATGGCAAAATATTCTCTAAATAAGATCCAAGGGAATATGTCAGACCCCAAGGCCAATACCTTGTAGCATATTCGTATTAGATTTTTCATGCCCAGCAGTTTTATGTATGGTTATGGGGTGGGGATCTCAACTGTTTCCAAGCTGTGACTAAGAAACTAGGTCCCTAGAGGTTCAACCAGACTCCAGGGTCTATTCTAATATCATGACTGCTTTCCTCTCTTTATGCCCAGCATTTTAAGGTCACCTGAGCTTTGCTCAAGTGACCTATTCTAATCGCTTTTCGTCCGTCGTCGTCTGTCGTGCGTAAACTTTTACATTTTCAACTTCTTCTCAAGAACCAGTGGATGGATTTTTTTCAAACTTGGTCAGAATCATCCTTGGTAGATGAGGCTTCAAAATTGTAAAATTGAGAATCCTACCCCAACCCCTGGGGCCAGGGCGGGGCCCCAAAGGGAAAATTTACCAATATTTTAAAAATCTTCTTCTACAGACTCAGAGGTACTAGTGATTTTCTTTACGTGGAAAGAAAGATCATCAGGAGCTTTACTTAAATTGTAAATTTCAGGACCCCCGAGCTATCCGTTCTCCCTTGGGGAGGGGGTAAAGTTTACTATAGTTTATATAGGGAAATAACACTTTTGGGTATATTTTGACAACTTTCTGTAGGAAATTATTTTTACTTGGTGAGAATTATCCTTGGAGGTAGATGGTTTCAAATTGTAAAATTGAGATTCCTACCCCGACCCCTGGGGCCAGGGCGGGGCCCCAAAGGGAAAATTAATCAATATTTCAAAAATCTTCTTCTCCAGACTCAGAGGTACTACAGTGATTTTCTCTACGTGGAAAGAAAGATCATCAGGGGCTTTACTTAAATTGTAAATTTCAGGACCCCCGAGCTATCCGTTCTCCCTTGGGGAGGGGGTAAAGTTTACTATAGTTTATATAGGGAAATAACACTTTTGGGTATATTTTGACAACTTTCTGTAGGAAATTATTTTTACTTGGTGAGAATTATCCTTGGAGGTAGATGGTTTCAAATTGTAAAATTGAGATTCCTACCCCGACCCCTGGGGCCAGGGCGGGGCCCCAAAGGGAAAATTAACCAATATTTCAAAAATCTTCTTCTTCAGGCTCAGAGGTACTACACTCATTTTCTCTGCGTGGAAAGAAAGATCATCAGGGGCTTTATTTAAATTGTAAATTTCAGGACCCCCGAGCTATCCGTTCTCCCTTAGGGAGGGGGTAAAGTTTAATATAGTTTATATAGGGAAATAACACTTTTCGGTATATATTTTATCCATTTTCAGCAGAAAATTACTCAAACTTAGTCAGAATCATCTTGGGTGAATGAGAGTATTACTTTGTAAAATTGGGATTCCTGCCCCATCCCCAGGGGCTAGGGCGGGGCCCCAAAGGGAACATTTACCAATATTTTCAAATTCTTATCCATTGATGACATGACAAGTATTGTATTTCACTTAGTTTACATGCTGATTTCCACATCACATCTAAACAATAAAATAAAGCTACCAGTACCTATGATATAACTCAGGTGACCGCTAAGGCCCTTGGGCCTCTTGTTATATATAGTTATTGGGTGGGGATCTTAACCGTTTTAAAGTTATGGCCCAGGGACTATGTCTCCAAGGGTGGGGCCAGACCCTAGGGCCATCCTGGAAGCAAATGTGCATTCTTCTCTTAATACTCAGCAATTGTATATATGGTTATACGGTGGGGATCTCAACCATTTCCAAATAATTAAAAAAAATGGCCCCACCCCTTAGTCCGGGGGGTAAGCCCCACCATTTGTACAATTTTTAATCCCTGCCTCCCATGAATGCTTCCAACCAAATATGATCGACATTCATGGCATAGTACTACAGAAGAAGTCATTTATAGCAACATAGCCAAATTGCCCCCTTCTGGCCCCGCCCCTCAGCCCCCTTGGGGGTCAGCCCAACCATTTGTACAATTTTGAATCTCCACTACCTAGGGATGCTTCCAGTCAAATATGGTTGATATCCTCCTTTTTGGCCCGCCCCTCAGCCCCACCGTTTGTACAATTAAGGGATGCTTCCATTCAAATTTAGTTAAATTCCAATTATTGGTTAAGAAGAAGTCGTTCAAAGAAATTGATGGCCACGGTATGGCATAAGCTCACCTTGGCCCTTCGGACCCGGCGAGCTAATAAATTATAATATTTTGTAAAGAGACAGCCCCCTCCCAAACAAAACAAAGCACCCAATTTTCTTTGTATTCCACCAGGACATTCCCCATATTTATAAAGCATGTAACTTGCTACAGAATTGAGGGTAAACCCAACTAAAATGATTATACTTGTTACAACATAGCTTTTCTTTAATACAATACGATGTGTCATACGGTTACACAGAATTTATACATACTGATGTGTCGACCATTGGCTTCCTGGTTGGTGTTGGTTAGAGTTGTGCTGCTGCTCACACCACCAGACGAACTGGAAGGTGTCATCCCGTCTAGAGACACCTATAAAACCATTCATTTCAAAACCTTGTCATTTTCAACAGATTCAGAAATCATCTCTTTTTGAACCTGCCTTTTCAGACTTCAATCTTTTAAAAAGTGCTATCAATTTTGTCTCTATGATACTTTCTTTCTCTCATCAGGTCAATATTTACATATTTCTTAAATTAACTTTTTTTCCTTTCGGTTGCCTGTAACCACCTACCTCCATCTGCTGTGGAGATACCCAGTCCACAGACGCCTCTTTGCTGTTTTGCTCCTTCTCCTTCTTGGCTGCAGCTTCTTCCTCTACAGCCTTTTTCCGTTTCTCCCTTCGCTCTGACAGCTCCTCATCTCGGTGCTGTTCTAGAACTTCCATGATTTCTGGCTTCAATACTGTGGTAAACAATTACATCAACATTGTTAATTGAGCTTAGTATTATGGCAATGTAACACTTGAAGGGCATATTTTTGCTACAGTGCACCTTAGCATCATTGAAATAAAATAGCAGCATTTTCTTTCAACATTTGAAAATTTTACATAATGCGATATTTCCTCCGTTCTTACATCTAGTGTAATGTCCTGTAGTGTATACGTGTAATGTCCTGTAGTGTATATATGTAATGTCCTGTAGTGTATACTTGTAGTGTATATGTGTAATGTCCTGTAGTGTATATGTGTAATATCCTGTAGTGTATATGTGTAATATCCTGTAGTGTATGTGTAATATCCTGTAGTGTATATGTGTAATATCCTGTAGTGTATATGTGTAATGTCCTGTAGTGTATACGTGTAATGTCCTGTAGTGTATATGTGTAGTGTATGTGTAATATCCTGTAGTGTATATGTGTAATGTCCTGTAGTGTATATGTGTAATGTCCTGTAGTGTATATGTGTAATGTCCTGTAGTGTATATGTGTAATGTCCTGTAGTGTATATGTGTAATGTCCTGTAGTGTATATGTGTAATGTCCTGTAGTGTATATGTGTAATGTCCTGTAGTGTATATGTGTAATGTCCTGTAGTGTATATGTGTAATGTCCTGTAGTGTATACGTGTAATGTCCTGTAGTGTATATGTGTAATGTCCTGTAGTGTATACGTGTAATGTCCTGTAGTGTATACATGTAGTGTAAATGTGTAATGTCCTGTAGTGTATACGTGTAGTGTATACATGTAGTGTATATGTGTAATGTCCTGTAGTGTATACGTGTAATGTCCTGTAGTGTATACCTATTACATCCCAATCTACATGTAGAAATGTCTTAATCTACACATAGATAGTTGACGGTCTTTAATCAAGACTAACAACAATTTATCAAAGTACAATATATCTTCAACCCATTTGCACCTGTCTTCACTACCCATTTGCACCTGTCTTCACTACCCATTTGCACCTGTCTTCACTGACAATTCATGTCCACATTAAAACTATCTTTAAGCCTGTCATCCCATCAGAAGTACCTGTCATACAGTCGTTAATGCTGTCACCATCCAGTACTTTGGCCTCCTCTGTCCATCTGGTCAGTGTGGAAGGAATGTAGGTGAGTACACCGGTACCAGCTGCACTGCTGTCAGGGTAGGGCTCCTATTAAATACAATGTTAACTCCAGTACACACATAAGCAATCAGGAAGTTTTCTGATCTCTGAAATCTTGATCAATAAGTTCTACTGCACAGGCTTGAACATTTCCCATATTAACAACCATCAAGGTAAAAATGTCAGGGTCTCAACCAGCAGGAAGTTATCACAATGGACTCCACTGCATCACTCCATTTTCCGTGATTATATAATAACAGTTTTCCTCTAGCAAGCCTCAGTCCTATCATTCAATATCATTAGGTTTCAAGTTCGTGATGTCGACTTGTGTTTTATCAGCATTGGCTTGTACACAACATTACCTAACTTATAACAGTAGAACACTTACCATACCACATTCCTATTCAAATCAAATGACCTGTTTAATACATGAATAAGCACTTGTAGGTATATATTGCATGATAAATATGGCAAATAATATTTCTGTTTTGTTATAATTTCCAAAATGAAAAGATGTCTGGCCTTCAATAAGCTACCTTTTGGTTTTTTCTATAAACATATTAACCATACACTTTCAGCCCTGCATCATAAAAAGTTAGCCGAAACTTTGTTGACAGTGTGGTCTAATGTCAGGCACTGACACTTTATATATACAAGAGGCCCAGAGGGCCTGTATCACTCACCTGGATATCTTAGCAATCATGACAAAATATTCTCCAAATGAGATCCAAGGGAATATGCCAGACCCCAAGAGCAATCCTTGTATCATATCTGTATTAGATTTTTCATGCCCAGCAATTTTTATGTATGGTTATGGGGTGGGGATTTCAACTGTTTCGAAGCTGTGACTCGGAAACTAGATCCGTAGGGTTGTGGCCAGACCCCAGGATCAGTTCTAATATCATGACTGCATTCATCTCTTTTTGCATTTGTATATATAGTTTTTGGGTGGGATCTCAACCGTTTCAAAGTTATGACCCAGGGGGTAAGTCTGCAAGAGTGGGGGCAGACCCTGGGGTCAATTCTAATATCATGACTGCATTAGTCTCTTTACGCCCAACAATTGTATATATAGTTTTGGGGTGGGGATCTTAACCATTTCAAAGTTATGACCCAGGGGGCAGTGGGGGGTCAGCCACACCATTTGTACAATTTTGAATCCCTGCATCCCATGAATGCTTTAGATCAAATATGATTTATATCCAGTGCATAGTTCTACAGAAGAAGTCGTTTGTAGCAATATAGCCAATTTGCCCCCTTTTGGCCCCGCCCCTCAGCCTCCTGGGGGGTCAGCCCAACTATTTGTACAATTTTGAATCTCTACTACCTAGGGATGCTTCCAGTCAAATATGACTGATATTTTAGTACCAGAGAAGAAGTCGCTTAAAGCAATATAGCCAAATTGCCCCCTTTTGGCCCTTTCCCCTCAGGCCCCTGGGGGGTCAGACCCACTATTTGTACAATTCCAATCAGTGGTTAAGAAGAAGAAGTCGTTTAAAGAAATTGTTGATGGACGGACGACGGGCGCCACGGTATGGCATAAGCTCAACTTGGTCAAGGACCAAGTGAGCTAATAACCCATGAAATAGAAATGAATCTAAGGGAATGAGTGTTTTATATAAATAGGCACCAAATAACATATAAAGTTGCTGTACAATACAAACTGCTGCATTGCCAGTTAGTTATGTCTGAGAACCCTGTAAACATCTACTGTAAGTCAGTTTAGATATCACAAACTGTGCCTGCCACTTAACCTTACACGTCGTACCTGGAAGAGTTCCTCAAAAAGGTCTTCGTCAGGGCGAGACATGATCCGCAAGTCTTCATTTGGCAGCATGACACGTGTGGGGGTTGGCCCAGCTACTGATGTCAGGGTACTTGTCAGTTGAAGGACATCGGCTGCCGTGGTAGGGCCAAGCAGTCTGACACAACATGCATTACAGTCTATTATAAATCTTTGTTATAGCACCATCATAATCTCAACAACATTTCAAGACAGATAAACAGCAGTCATAGTCCTCACTACATTACAAGAAAGTTGTTACATTATTACGTGTTTCTCATCTATTTCTATTTGCCATCTGAACAAGTTGGATCCCCGCCCCCCTTTTTATGATCATTGTAGTCATCACATTTTTCTTATTGATACAATTAAGTGAGCAATGGCTCATACAGGTGTACCTTCCACAACCAAATCTGCAAAGTGTAACTAAATCCTTTAACTTTGACCAATGACCACATAAATCTTGTCAGAACTCAACATCACTATATTCTGGTGTAAATATAAACTGGGTCTGCTGTGTGGTTCTTGAGATATCTTGTTCACTCCGTTTAAGTTTGAAGGGTTATCTTGTAAACTCCCTTTTTACTTTGAACAAATACACTGATGAAGCAACTGATATACATGTATATCCATATCAAATAAGTTGAGGGTAGAATTACAACAAATACTTGTCAATGCAGTGAGAAAACAATTTCTACATTTGAGCCAGATTTAAGAGAGATGACTGTATGGTCACTACCTACCTTTGTAAGATGACTGGTGGGTTGGGGGGCCTTGGGAAGTTGACATGGAGGGTCTGTGTGGAGGGATTGTAGCGACAGGTACCTCTCTGGCGTCCCCCTCGGTGTATACGAGCAACAACACCATGCGTGTCAGGCTGGCGAGTCAACAGAGGATGGGTCGCCATCACATTACTGGGTGCGGGAGGCACAACGGTTGGCACTGAAATCAACAGACGCCAAATCAATGTCAGTCTGATTCAACTAGAGGACTACTCCCCTCTCAATACTGTAAAATGCTTTTAATTCGCACATTGTCAATTTCACAACACCAAACGATAATGCAAGTTTTAGATTGTTTGCATTTCATACTCTTTCGTAATCTCCAAAAGGCGTACAACATTAAATGATTTTCTGTATACAATACAGCATCCTTATCCTCAAATGTCAGACAACACAACACAAACAGCACTGTAGAAAAAGAATGTGTGGCTGTGCTGTCCAACATCTGTTGATGTCAGACTATTGGTATGTCGAGGGATCACAGAAATACTTCTTGTACAGCGCGAAGTCAAAGCACATTACAGTAAAGAAAGAAAGTTTACCTGCCAGCTCATTCCCATTATCATTGTCGTGTATGGAGATTGGGCATTGTAAGCCGTTAAAACTGTGCAGCTGATGGTTGTTGTCCAAGGGATTGAATATCACATGCTGGTTTCCTACAAGTTAAGAGTAGATACATAACACATCACAGCACTCGGGCTGGTAGACTTACCACAAACAGGCAGTCCAAGTCAACACTCATGTGAAGTTTCCTACAAAGATGGCTATAAACTATATCAATGAAACCTACCAACTAGGTCACTGACCAAGGTCAACTAGATCACAATCCTCACACATCAGACTGTAAATTGATGATATATCATGCAAATTAGCAAAGGGGATAGTCGCTTGCAAATTAATCTATTTCAGATATTTCTTCAGACACATCAAACAACTTCAGTAACAATCATGTGTCTATTTAAAAATTGAATCTTAAACAACTTTTTTATTGTCACTTTCCTAATCAAAAATGCTAATTGTACACGAACTTGAGTTGTCACTTTCCAAAGTAAAATTCTTTTAAAACTTTTATTGTCAGTTTCCCTCACTAAAATTCTCACCGACATGACCAAAATTTTAAACAGTTTTGGATACTTCACTTTGCATTTTATGTTATTTTAATGATATCAGCTGAAGTGTTTTAACTTGAGATTTATACTGTTCTCCTCTTTGCTGTACTAATTCTCACTATAACCACAAAAATGCAAAACAAAAGACAGTGAATACATCAAGGTGGTCCACAGCCTTAGTTCTAATGTGCGACGGTTGGCCCTTTTTTGCTGAACCCTTTTCTAAAGTTGCGAAAAGGTAACCTAACACTTATGGAATGATTACATTAAAAATATTTAAACCTACAAGATAAATAAGATTTTTGATAAGAAAGGTTATTTAAGGAAAGATAACACAATATTTCTGATGAGTCATTAACCATCAGCCACACACCTAATACATATCTGTGTCTATACAACAAAGATATCTTTCGACTGTGATGGCACTCCGTGACTGTGATGTTATTGTGATTGAAGTTTTGACATTTCAGACTTATTGCCCTTTTGTCTGACAAATGGATGCAAACACAAACAGCTTTCTACACACAGTGACAGTTACCTAGTGGGAACATCATATCCTCCATATTAAATACATTGTTTTCGTCATGGAACTGGTGACCAGAGGGCGTGTCTATCTCCAGGTCGTTATAATCATCCTCATCCTCTGCCTCCATATCAGACCCCTGAGGAAGAACACAAAATCAAATAAAAAAATCAATTGTAAACTTCTTTATAATAAAGTGTATCAGCACACAAAGGTCTTTAAATTCTTCGATATTAAGGACCCAAAACGATATACCAGTAGCTATACTGAAAATATGATGATTTTACATCTCCCAACAGTTTAGAAAAGGTGAAGATTTTTTTTGCGTAAACAACCATTGATGAGTAATAAGCCATAATTCAGGATAACTGCTATTTTCACAATAATACACAGATGAAAATCTTGGAGCAAACATGCCCTTCTTACATCTAGGTTTAAGTTTGGGAATAACCCCAGTACTCATTTAACTAACCTTTCCAAGAGTTATGCGACCTGGAATTATGTTCATTAAATTTGTCTTAAACCAATTCATTAGTTTCCTTACCTAATGAATTTGACAACAAGTAGATTCAATATCTAATACATTGTATATATACAGATGTTTCTGTGGTTGATCTCCCAACATAAATTATAGCCTTTTTTAATTATCACATTCTTTGTCTACTGTAAAACCAGACTGCAGAATCCAATCTTCACTCTTTCACTATTACTACACACCTCTTCATCTTCCTCATCATCATCGTCATCATCGTCCTGGTCGTCATCATTATCACCATCATCGTTGTCATCTTCATCTGCATCTGATCCACTCTCTGCAGAGTCGTCGTCATGGACATCAACTAAACCATAAATATTTACATGATAGTGGGTGGAAGTGTTATATCTTGGACAGGACAAACAGGTGACATATTATTATGACAAGGTGCTTTAAGTGAAAATAACAGGTATTCTTGGGTGTTAGGGCTATCAAAATGTAGTTACAAGGAAAACAGAATTTTACCTCTTGACTAACAAATGCGGTCTGTATCCTGTGAAGATCGTTATACTTCTTTCAGTACTTAATAAACATGTCCATGATATTTTGTCAAATAGTCTAAATGGATAGTACATAGCAGCATACAGATGAAGAAAAGTCTAGTGAAGGTTTACAGTGGTATCTGATTAGTGCAAATACTTTTTCTTTTTATCAAATTTTCGCCTAAAAGGGAGAAAGTATCTCAATATTAATGTCCAGAAAGGAAGTTTTCTGAATAATTTGAACCCTGAATAAGTAAGTTCCCGGCTAGCTTTGACCTTACCATGAGTATTATCATCTCCTTCCTCGTCCTCTATAGAAATCTCCTGGCTGACAATGTGAGAGTCATGGTGGTCCATCTCCTCCACATCTATTAGTTCATCGTCTCCATCATCTCCGTGATCATCCTGCTCTGATGCCTGGCTAATGTCTTCTAGATAAACAAGTTATCATGTCATTATTACCAAATTGACAATTACAAAATTACAATGGCATTGTATGACTTGCATGAAAAACTTACATACTGGTTCTCTAATCAAGGTAACATTTTTTAGTACTAAATCTAATTTTAACATAAAATCTTCTGGTCTCTCAATCTCCATTGCAACTACTAGGCTTATTCCAGTTACAAAAGTTTATGCTTTGTGTTACATGGAAGTTGAAGAGTAGATAGGAAGCAACTACTACCGCACTTTTGTAAAATTTCCATATCCTTAATTTTAAGTCCCCCTCCCTCTTGTAGCCCAAACAACCCTTAGTTATCTGCAAAGTTCTCTTTTTATGTACATGGTGCTATCCATTAAATTCCACTTTTCAGACACATCCCTTGTTAATTACCTGTTTCCATCACAATATCAGCAAGCACTTCCCTCTCAGTGTCCAGGTTAGAATCCCTGCTCAGTAGCTCATCAATGACATCCTGTAGCTGGGAGCCAGGCTGTAAATAAAACATACAATTTTATCTTTGCTAAATATTGTAGAAAGTCTGGCAGTTGTCAAGCCATAAATTTCCTTTTCAAATGACCAAATAACAACAGGCCCAGTGGGTTTGTATGGCTCAACTATTAAATTCGATGTTATCAGCAAACATATCTTTACACCTGTGACCTTCAAAGTGGATCAAGGTCAACTTCAAATTACAAATTTTATTACACTTTGCAACAACACAGGCTAAATATTATCGTTACCTATGATACTTTGCTAGAAGATTTTCACTTTTATATTCATATGACCTTTACAGATTTTCAAGATAATTTAACACTTTCAAGCTTCAGGCCAAATATTACTAATCTATGACTTAAGGAATATATTTTTCACCTGTGACCCTAAAAGTAGGCAAAGGTCATTTGTTCAAAGTCATTCATCCAAGCAAGCTACAAGACAAATACTGTTATTCTAGACCTTAAAGAATCTTTAAAGGAAGCCATTTGAATTATTTTTTAAATATATTTACCCATGTTTGTGCTCACTGCGAAGTGAGCTTAAACTGATCCAGAATTTTATTTCTGTAGATCATCTGATATAAAAGATTAACAAGGACTAAATTGACTGTTTTACTCTTAGGGTCTGATTGTACCTGAATACCTGAAATGACCCACATTGGTAAAATAAATTTAACAATTAGTGATGGGCATCATATTGAGCATGTAATATGGTGATATGTCAACAGTGCTATCAGTATTGTATGGTACGTACATCAGTGTTGTCAAGATCATGTTCCGGTTCCTCAGCTTCCAGGGGCTCTGCTTCCTCTAGGTCACCATGCTGGTCAGCCTGGTCTGTGATATCCTCAATAGTTACGTCCCTCTCCTGTCCAAGGTTTCCTGTACCTCCTTCAGCCGCTGTAGTGTTAAATATATCTGAACAGTAAATACAGCAGCAAGGTAAGACATCTCTTCATGGAAAATACAACTGTAAACCGCTTAAATCCCTTCTTCCCTAAGTAACCCCAAACCCTCCAGAAAACCATATAAATCTCCTAGTGTTCTTAAATAACCCAGTGTCTTACCTGTGGTAGTATTCTCCGTGGTCGACTCTTGTCCAGGAGCATGTTCACCAAGGTCTAGCTTGCCCTTTCCTTTTGTAGTTACACCCTGTATAGGCTGGTTGACACTGCGGGAGAGCGTTTCGAGGGGCTTGAGGGCAGAGTTGATAGTATTGGCCATGTAGGGACTTGAGAGGTCAAGGCTATGGGGTATCCTAGCCAAGTCTGTCACAACGCCCTTCTTCAGCAAACTCTTCACAATGTTGTTCATCAGCGTCTGCTGTCCCTTAAACACCTCATTTGGCACCTGTCCTGGACTTGGACATGACTCAATAATAATGCTGATGAGATTTGTCAGGGACTGTATACGCACATGTTTCTCTGAGCTTTCAGGATGGCACAGAGACCGCTGCAGGGCATTTTTTATTTCCGCTACGAGTGCCATCTGAGCATCTGGCCGGTTGTTACATGATGCAATGCTAGCCACAAAAACACGTGACAATGCAGGGCAGTCCCGGTCTCCGTACACCTGGCACTGGGGCAAAAGGTGGTCCAGTACAAACGCCAGCACACTGCATTCCTGCAACACAAAGACAGTACTGCATCCTACAGTTATACAACACTTGAAGCTATACTCCACAGACTACAGGTATACCACAAAAAATTCAACAGATCAAGCTCATCCAATGGACACAAGAACAAGAGATACAGAGCTTGATGGATCCTAATACAACAAATATTGCAATACCAACTTTGAAATTTGAATTCATATACTTAAGTTGATTTCTAACTGACTAGCAAGTGATTGTTTGGCACAAGTTTTCATCACAACTTACCTCGGGCACGAGTTCTGACTGGCCACCAGTATACACGTGTTGTGTGATGAGTTGTGTACAACTGCCGTAGGACTTAACCATCTCTGACAGTAGCCGCAGGATTAGTGACTTTGGCATTAAAAGACTCTGCTTGCGGCTATCCTCTGCTGTCTTGGCATCCTTTTCCTTTGTCTGGTCTTTGTTTCCTCCCTGTTCTGCTGTTAGATCGGTTTGACTCTGAACAACAACAAAAATAAAAAATAAAACATTTACTTGAGTAAACATGAGTTCAAGAACTTCTGTCACCTCTTCTAAAGACATTTCTCCAAATTTCAGTGCATGTGAAAATTATGTTGCAATGCTTTATGTTTCAAGTATCTTTTCAGATATTTCAACATTTGCTCATGACTTCCACTTCTTTATCAAAAGGAAACAATTATATTGTTTTAATTTTTCTTTACTACGTAATGGATATATTGAGCTTTATACAACACAGAAAAATGCACAAATATGTAATATAGAAGTATTTGGTACTGCAAAATTGGAAGCATTTCCAAGTAGAAATTTTAGAATTTTTAATCTTCAAATAATGCACTTTGTAGAAATTCTTGCATTGTGAATGTAATTGAAGATACATATGGTAATAATGAGCACTACGGTGTGTCAATGCTTCATACTTCCTTATCATTTTTCCATTTGATAAACATTCCCACAGTGTGAACAATTCTAAGTACATACAGTGGACTCTTCCTCTTGCTGGAGTTCAGCTGAGCTGTTTTGGCGCACCATGTTGGCCTGTCTCTCCTGGAGCTCACGTGACATCTCTGCGATGGCCTCCGAGAGGGGCTGAGCAGCCTTGACCTCCATGCCTACACTGGTAGCAGTGGGTACTATAGAAGACACGAACATACTAGTTATTCTCTGGCCTTACCTGTCTCATTTATCCCAACACTTTGTCTGCCCTAATTGCCTTAATCTATTTATATTGTTCATTTATTTCATACCTATGTTATTTTGAGTCAATTCAATCAATGCTTTTAATGAACAAATAATGTTAATGACATGGTGGTTGCTTAATTGGAATGTATCACTTCCATCTTGAATATGATTTAGTTTTGGGGGAGGATAATAGCTTAAAACAATGCATTACTGGTAATTAATTCCAACAACATTAATAAGATTTGGTAAAAGCAGAGATTCAAGCATGCTTTTAGAAAATAACTATGATTTTACCTGGCTCTTTGTAATTACATTTGACTATAAGGCAGTTGAGAAGGTCATATAGCACCTCCTTGATTGGAGATTCCACAGTATGGGAGATAACTTGCTTCGTTGATATGCTCTTCAGGATCTGTGGTGCATTTGGACCATAGAATCGACTCTCATCCTCATCTGTATAAAGTGATAAAATTGAGTAAAACTTCTGTACTGTCATTAAAAAACTTTATCATTGTCTTCTAGAATGCAATTTGAACTTTTTGGTAACACCTTTTAAGTATTAATAATTTAACACTTTATAGTGGTAAAAGTTCCCTCATCTTGAATTGTTTTCTACTACACAGTGCATTGTGATGTTGCTAACAAATTCTCAGTCAAAACCAAACAGGGTTTATCAATTTGTGAACACAATATAAGAAGCTGGTTACCACGCTTGGAGGGCCGAGGGAGGGCTATTCTCAGTGTATTTCGAGCCACTTCTGTAAACATGCCAGGGTTACGACAAGCAGCAGGCCCAAGGACCCTCAACACATAGTGCAATTCCTTAGAACCCATACTGCCCTGCTGGACACCACTTAGACTTGAGCCCGACCCTGAAGTTGCCTTCTTGATTGCCTGTTAAACAAACAACACATAAGGATTCAATTATTCCTTGTGTCTGTGTGAACCAATATTTTTACATCATTCACACAGATGCAAGGTTATTTCTTTGTTTTAAATGGGTGGTAAATAAATAATTTACAGCAAATGTTGATATCATGATCTCTTTTTCTTAACAATCCTGTTTCATTTATTGACTAGCCTCTTCTGAATGCCAGCATTTTGGCTTGATGGCAGTATAACAAAGTATTACTGTACATACAAACACTAGATTAAGAACATTTGCACAGAATTAACAAAGTATCTCTATCATTTTGATATAAAGCATGACTGATTTATTTTAATGAATCAAAATATGAAAATATATCTATGGAGTGATCGGATTGTATTACCTTTTCCATGCAGTACTTTAGAGATGCAGGTTCCTCAAGGATATGTCTAAAGATGAGAGTGGCAAGAGAAACAAAGCCCGGAAAAGCTGAAGCCTGTGTGAGGTTCAGCAACACTTTTGGCCCTCCAAGTTCTGCAAACAAGACAGCAAATTTGTGTTCTCGTGTCAGTCGTAGGATGAGGCGCAAGGCTGCATGAAGACTCTCAGCTTCCACTGGAATGTTTAGTAGGGCCACCACAGACCTGTCAAAGGAAACAATTACAAAGTGAAACCAGTTTAATCCCCCACCCAGTGCGCTCCAACAAGTTTGGCTTGGAAAAGACAGGGTGTCAGAATACATGGATCTTATTTTTTTTTTTAGATATAGGATTTCAGCTGTTAGTCTGAATATTCAGGTCAAATAAGACAAGTATCACTGTATATGTAATGGTCAACTGAACTGGAGATTTTTATCATAGTGTAAAAAATGTATATTCAAAAGTGTATCTATACTGATGTTGTATATTCAGTCATATGAAATCAAAAGACTGATTCTTTTTTCAAATTGCATGAACTTGCTTTTGTTAGGAGAAACTTTGTCTTCAGAAATATTTTCACGAGGAGGTAAAATTTCCAAAATACATTCAAGTAAAACCTTTTTTTTCCTTAGTTTCTATGGCTTGAATGTCCACAGAAACAATTTTATATTCCTCGACACTCACCTTATAACACTGGTAATCTGATCCGAGTTTAAGCCGTTCACAATCTTTGTTTCTCTCGTTATCTTTCTCTCAACAGGTTCTGTTTCCATTTTACTCTCTGAATAAGAATAGAATGCATATGGCAAAACTGAGACAATGAATTCTGAGATTTCTGTGGATCAATACGTCAATAATTCATAGATATTTGTAGAACCCTTTAAGACTTTATAATACATGTACTACACCATAAACCCTGTCCAATGACCAAACCATGGGGAATTTGGTCTTAATTTAAACAATCAATCTGTAGCCTGAATTCATGCTATTTTTCAATGTAAAAAACAAAATATTAAAACATTTTGCATCAACACAGCCTGAGAACTTGATCTCTTCAGTATTCAACAATTACCCTATATGCTGAATTCAGTGTAAATTGTGTACCTGATGTCATTGGGCATTGTGTTCAACAGCAAATAATTAAAACAATAACATATCTACCAGTAGAAAATGTTGGTTCATGCCTACCAGACACAGGACTGGGCTGGGAAGCTTCACCCTCCTTGTTCGAGACCTTCTTATCACCCTGTTCTGCCTGTTGTTTCTCCTCCACAGTAGGCAAAGTCAGCATGATGGGCCGCCTGTTACCTGTCTCCTCGTTAACCTGTTATGTATTTAGTAAAATTTTGTTACCTGCATTTCACAAGTAAAATCTGGTCATTTAAACAACAATTGTTTAATGATTAGGACCTCTTAGGCACATCATTCAGGACAACATAAGTGATTTATAGTAAAATCTGGTAGATCTTGTTTCATTATTGTTGTAATATAAAGTAGTTTTTTCAATCATGGTGGATATGAAAATTCTATTACTGTTTGTAAATATGTGATCAGAAGCCTAGTAATCCTTGATTATGAACCTGAACTCCACAACCCTTGTGTAATCTCCCACACCAACATATGATAAGTCACCACCATGTGACAGCTGTCTTGCAAGATATATTTCTATCCTACATTGAACCACTGTAAAACAAGGCTTAAGTGTCCAGAAATGATATGAGATCAAAATTGTATAGAGAGTGCTAATGATGTTACCTGCATCATGGTGTTAAAGTGGACCGTGTATCGCCTTCTGCCAGCCTGGAACCTACAAACCACATTACAATACCAATAGTAAGTAATACAGCCACAAGGATAAATAGTCAAGTTATTGAGCTGAAACAAAATTGTCCACTAACAGATTGATTCATGCTTAAGGTGAAGACATTTTACGACCTGATGAAGGCCAACACAACAAACATGTGACCTACCTGATGCTGGACTCTCCCGACTGGTAAGCATCGTCGATGGTCTTGTTGTTGCCCAGACTGTATTTACACCAGCGCCCTGTACTGTCATCAAACCACTTCCACGTATGACTGGCCGCCTGTCAAAGCCAAATCAAAATATGATATGATCTCTTTATAGATATTATTCATTTTTAAGATTACTCTTAAAAGTGAGAGTAAAGCTGTCGTAGTTAGTGGGGAGTTTTCCAAGACATCTGACCTTGTTCTCTAGTCTCTAGAGCTAACATCATTATTCAAAAACACAAAACTGCGACGTCCCAGATTTAAAAGGTCATGATAATTTTGTTCTTCTTTCCTCAGTCGCTATCAATATATCATCAAGGATATTATGACATATGCTTGTCTATGATATATTCATCACTGGAAAGTGAATTCTTACAATTACTGTGACTAAAATCAGAAGGACATTCTACCACATTCAAAATAATGCTTAGGGTTAGTTCTATTTAAAGTCATTGTGGTTTAAAACAAGATTTCTATCAAATTATACTAAATCAGGCTACAAACATTGTTAAAATTCTATCAACTGAATCTGATTGGACAATACAGGTGTTGGAAAAAGCTGCTGTGCACACAAACAGAAGGGTCACAGATAGCCTTGATATCAATGCAGCAATGGAGACTTACCAATAGTTTCTCAGCATCCACCTTACGCCTAGATATCACAGATACTTTTTCATACAGGTCCAGTAACAGCAGCATTGGTGCTAGCCATCTAAAACACAAAAGTACCACTCCAATATATGGTCTTTAATTCTCAAACTTTCATTTACGTTTTCATCTTCAAAATCCAATTAAATCAACTAATGAAATTTTTAATCTTAAATGAAAATATCATTGGGATCCACTTTCTTCCAGTAAAACTAAATTTCATTATTTTTATAATTGTAATGAACACTCTTCATTCTGGATACAAAATATTTAAGGAAAGTAAACATGAAGAAAATAAAATACAAAATTCTAGTACTTGGTAAGGAATGAAGAATATAGGGCAGATGAGTTGTGCATTTTAAATGTGTTTTGCTAAATACTTTTTCACAAAAAAACAACCATGTAGACAAAGTCTGATTTTAACAGGAACTGTTTGCTATTGACATAAAAACATTTGGAATAGATCACCAAATCATGTTTTGATACATATGTTTATCATATGTATAAATGGAATATTTCTTGCTATGCAATGTGCCATTTTCAACATTCTATCCCTCACTGTTGAATTTTGAATTAAATGTCAATCAATCAACCAAACTTTCCTCAGTCGCTATCAATATATCATCAAGGATATTATGACATATGCTTGTCTATGATATATTCATCAGAGGAAAGATTCTGAAGTACCTCATCCAGTCAATCAATGATATATATTACTTGACCTTGTGAAAATGAACTACTTATTCTCATTGATCAACAGTTTTTAACTTTAAAGTTTTATAAGGATTTACAATTAGGGTAAAATAATTTCAAAACACTTTTTTAAAGTGACATCAGAAACTTCAGGAATCGGGCTGTTACATTCGCAATTGAATATTAAATCTACTGTCATTGTAATTGGTTTTACCATTTTACATGTTATGGCGAAGCAAAGGCTTTGTGACCATTGAGGGAATGACTTCATATTTTGGTTAGGAGTAGAAATTCTCACAAAACATTCCAAATTCATAACAAAGAACAATTAAAAACTTTCCTCAGTCACTATCAATATATCATCAAGGATATTATGACATATGCTTGTCTATGATATATTCATCACTGGAAAGTCTAGCACTGCAAAGCTTACAGATGCCCCATCAAAAATACGGTTTCAATATTTCCAAATTCATCAGAAGTTATATAAATATTAAGTGAAATTCATGCAAAATATTGAGCAAGAGGAGAGAAACTTGATAGAATATCATTCAAACAGCTTACATAAACTCAGGTGAAAAGGACGAAGATTAACTGGGGTTGTTCTCACATATTTAACATATAATAGTATTTTAAACTACTTCAGTTCCACAACTTGCAAGCACACTTTTGCAGATAAGACTATTTAGTGTTTAATAAAATTATCCTCAAATTATATTTAACCCTTCTAAATGTACATCAGATGAAAGATTGTACCAACCCTATTTTCCAGTGGAATACTTTGTTCTATATATTTTCACTCCCATTCCCAACCAAACCATAATCATGGACAATTGACACTCTCATTTATCCTATTGTTCCAAGACTTGTGCTTTCCTCAGTCGCTATCAATATATCATCAAGGATATTATGACATATGCTTGTCTATGATATATTCATCACTGGAAAGTCTATGCCCCATCACAATTCAGTTTCAAAGTTTCCTTATTTATCAATCTTGTATCTAATATCAGTGAATTCATGACAAATATTGAGCGAGAGGATAGAAACCAGATAGTATGTAACTCAAACAGACCTACATAAACTCAGGTGAAAAGGACGCAGATCAAGTGGGAGTGGTAATAGTGTGATAACACTTATCTAATACCTAATAGTATTTAAAACTACCTCAATTTCACAAATTGCAGGAGGTGCTATATGGGGTTTTTAACCATCGTTTTGTGGTAAAGCATTTCAGTATTTAATGAAATTATCCTCAAATTATTGAAGTCCTTCTATATTTAAATCAAATGAAAGATTGTACCAACCCTATTTTCCAGCGGAACACTTTGTGCTATATATTGTCACTCCCATTCCCAATCAAACCATAATCATTGACAATTGACACTCTCATTTATCCTGTTGTTCCAAGACTTGTGCTTTCCTCAGTCGCTATCAATATATCATCAAGGATATTATGACATATGCTTGTCTATGATATATTCATCACTGGAAAGAGAGGGGTTCTAACCCAAGGTTTTTACATAAGACACATTCCCTTCTAGTTTTGAGTGTGGAAAGTGCTTAGTGTTAGTTTGGTTGACTAGTCTCTGTCTAAATGGGGACATTTGCAGAGTGACTTCCATTGGTGAGAATATCAGTTGGGTTTATGATGGGAGGGGATCGGGGGAGTAAGTTACTTATGTGCGACACTGACAGTCCCTGCAAGGTTTGAGTGGGGAGGGTAGCTTTCCCATATGTGAAACAAAGTACCTGTAGGGTTTAGTGGGGAGGGTAACATAGTTACGTGAAAAAAAGTACCTGTAGGGTTTAGTGGGGAGGGTAACATATTTACGTGAAACAATGTCCCTGTAGGGTTTAGTGGGGAGGGTAACATAGTTAAGTGAAACAAAGTACCTGTAGGGTTTAGTGGGGAGGGTAACATAGTTACGTGAAACAAAGTACCTGTAGGGTTAGAGTGGGGAGGGTAACTTACTAATGTGAAAAAAAGTACCTGTAGGGTTTAGTGGGGAGGGTAACATAGTTACGTGAAACAAAGTACCTGTAGGGTTAGAGTGGGGAGGGTAACTTACTGATGTGAAACAATGTCCCTGTAGGGTTTGAGTGAGGAGGGTAACTTACTAATGAGAAACATAGTACCTGTAATGTTTGAGTGGGGACCCTTGGGTAACTTACTAATGTGAAACAAAGTACCTGTAGGGTTTGAGTGGGGAGGGTAACTTTCTAATGTGAAACATAGTACCTGTAGGGTTTGAGCGGATATGGTGACTTTCTTTGGTGGGAACAAAGTCAAGGTGGGGTTTGAGTTTGGAGGATAGCTTACTCTGCCGAGGGTACCTTCACTGTTTGAGTGGAGAGGATGACTTTCTAACAGTCCCTTTAGTACTAGCATTCAAGCAATCAGCCAATCATTCCTTAGTCGCTATCAATATATCATCAAGGATATTATGACATATGCTTGTCTATGATATATTCATCATTGGAAAAAGATAGCATCAACCTAGAGGTTTCTGTACACCACAGGTTTGGCAGAAATACTAAGACATCAACAGTTCAGGGTGAAAGTCGATTAAATTTGATGGATTATTCTCTGATGATTTTGAGTACAAGGTTTTCAGACTACTTCGGGGAGAGTGATTTACTTTGGTGAGACAGAGTCCCTGTATGTATGGTTGGGGAGAGTGACTTACTTTGGTGAGACAGAGCCCTTGTATGTATGAACGGGGAGAGTGATTTACTTTGGTGAGACAGAGTCCCTGTATGTATGATTGGGGAGAGTGACTTACTTTGGTGAGACAGAGTCCCTGTATGTATGATTAGGGAGAGTGACTTACTTTGGTGAGACAGAGTCCTTGTATGTATGAACGGGGAGAGTGATTTACTTTGGTGAGACAGAGTCCCTGTATGTATGATTGGGGAGAGTGACTTACTTTGGTGAGACATAATCTCGGTTGGCGGTGAGGAACTCCTGCCCACTACTGAGCACCTGTACCAGGAGGTCGGTGAGGTAGACCTTTTCCACAGTCTCTGCACATGGCATCCTCGCCTCCTACAACAACCAAGAAACAGCGGTACTACCTGGACATCTCACATATATATGTAACTATGCAATACTTACAGTTCAGTATAAGCTGTTCACAGGCCTTAGTTGCAGCTATCACACACTATATATCTCCATATTTTCAAGACCATGAGTATAGCGGAAATAAAACTAAGCACCAAATAGAAATTATAGGTACCAGAGTGGTGATCTCAAGCCTCATACCTCAAACAGCAGGCTAAACAGGTGAAGTCGAGTAGCAAATTTGCAGGAGTCGGGATGGAATGCCTTCTTGTCATTAGAGCCTGACTGGGGCTCGTCTGAGGGACAGACATGACCCACAGACAGTAGCTTCTGACCAAGGGACTGAACCTGAAATACAAGCAACACATAAGTATATCGTACAGCTTCCTCACATTTAGCAACTAGCAACATAATAGCAAAATTCATTATTATTACTAAATATTTTTAACAATACAAAAACTGTCAAAAATATATATAATCTGAACATCAAGCCAAAAATAAACAGGTGTTTTCACATTTGCAGAGATTAAAGCCATCATCCATAGCATATTCTTAAAGGTTCATTATAAAGATAAACATTCTCTTAATATCTGGAACCAAAATCCCTGCAAATGATTAACTTCCCTAGGCCCTATTAAAACATCACTTAAGATATTGACAGATGATTTCCCATGACACACTTCAACAGCCGTACAGGGAATTTGCCTGTGTACAGTCATGTATTTATAGGTATTGAGCTCACCTCCTGAACAAGAGAGGACAGGACACGTTTCTGCCATTCCAACCCATTCCTCTGTGTAACAACAATGAGCAGGTCACAAACACGATACACCGTCTCTGGGAGTGTGTCAAGTAGTGTCAGACAACCTAAAATACATAAACTTATAACTCAACCCAAACAATGTCTGAATGTCAAACTAGGTTGTGACTAACAAGTGACAGCATTAAATTGAAATTCTATCCTTTCATCTAGTGATTAATCAGGGAAGCCTAAAACTTTCTCCTACTGCCTATTCACTTGGTTTTACTGCTTCTACAACCTCTATCTTACTTTCCTCAGTCGTTATCAATATATCATCAAAGATATTATGACATATGCTTGTCTTTGATACTCATCATGGGAAAGAATATTTTGGGTGGTATCAGTTCATTACATAAGTTTATATGGTGACATGAGTTATCAAAGCAAAACAGAATTAAATAAAATATCTGTTCTGAAATTCAAACTTACTTTCATTCTAGTTGGTCATTCAGATTTACCCGTAATGAGAGTAAAAGACTCTTAACAGAATTGTTTGTATTAGGATTTGAGAGAACGATTTCATACTGTTGTTTGGGACAGAGAAATTTATAAAATAATATCGTTAAGTCTGAACAAAGAATGAGACAAAACTTTCCTCAGTCGCTATCAATATATCATCAAGATTATTATGACATATGCTTGTCTATGATATATTCATCACAGGAAAGGTTCTGAAGTAACTATCAGACATGAACTGGCTTTGAACGATAAATATTGTACACACTTACTCCTTATTTTGTTCTCTCATCCTATTGGCAAGCATTTCCATTATGAATTTATAAAATATTTATTTTTACTTTTTTCTGTATCGTTGGTTTTACAAAATAATTAAACATTTTGTCAGGAGCAGCTTCCTTTCTAAGTTTGAAAGCTAACAAAAGTCCAAACACTTCCTCAGTCACTATCAATATATCATCAAGGATATTATGACATATGCTTATCTATGATATATTCATCACAGAAAAAGTTCAGCCTCATCCAGCCAATGAAAGATATAATACTTGGGTAATTGTATTACTTATTATCCATATTTTGCAACTTTCAACAGGATTTTTAATTTAATAGCCTAAAATCCTTTCAAAACCTTTTTTAATAATGACATCAGAAATTTCAGCAAGTTGGATGCTACATTTGCAATTGAAGATTAAATCTAATGTCATGCCAGTGGTTTTACCATTTTACATGTAATGGCAGAAAGAAAAGCTATGTGACTAACAGAAATGCTGCATTAGGTTTTGTGGGAATCACTTCAGTCTTGTTAAGGAGTAGAAATTCTCTAAAAATATTCAAATTCTAAAGAAATAACAAGTAAAATCTTTCCTCAGTCGCTATCAATATATCATCAAGGATATTATGACATATGCTTGTCTATGATATATTCATCACAGAAAAATTTTCTAAGCAGTTGACATCAACTGCTTCTTACACAAAATTTCTTTCAATAAATAAATATGACACAGGATCTTCAACAAGGACTTCAACATCAATACACCAAAACTGATTTTTTATATCTAAATTGTACCATCAACACTTCACAGATTTGACAAGTGGTACTTAAACCCTAGATTCAAATATGTACCAAGTTTATTTAAAGAACGGTCAGACATGTACTGGCTTAATTGGAAAAATAAATATTGTACACAAACTTACAGCTTACTACTTTTTTTACTTTGTTTCAATATCTTCGCAAAATTCTTACAAATAACTATTAAAGCATTATGTCCAGAGCAACCTTTTTTCTAGGTTTGAAAGCTAACAAAAGTCCAAACACTTCCTCAGTAGCTATCAATATATCATCAAGGATATTATGACATATGCTTGTCTATGATATAATCATCACTGGAAGGTTTCTGTCAGTGACTGTTTACAGAAAAGCCTTGGTCATTTCCATTCAGAACAGTCTATTATAACAGTAATATGGCTTTAAACATCTTTTCATACAAACAACTGGAAATTTCAGAAAAGAGATTCCATACCCACATGGACAGAAGCTTTTTTTCCCCTTAAGTTTTTAATCATCACTATATTCTAATGATTAAAGAATACCAAATACTAATACTTTTTTCTCAGTACTAAAACAAGAGGCCCATGGGCCTTAAAGGTCACCTGATATATTTATACAGAGAGTTGATTTTGTTTTTAACACGAACAGAAATATTATTCAGTGACAAAAAACAACAAGAGGCCCAAGAGGGCCTGTATCGCTCACCTGAATATTTAAGCAGTCATAGCAAAATATCGTTATCAATATAACATCAAAGATATTATGACATATTCTTGTCTATGATATAATCATCCCTGGAAAGTCTATGCCCCATCACAGTGGGGCTTTATCCCAGGAAGCCATCAGCCAAATATGAAGATTCTATACCTTTCCGTTCTTCAGAAGAAGTTGTTTAAAGGAAAAGTTGACGGACGACGGACGGGCGACGCGCCATGGCATAATAAAACCCCCTTATTCAATATCTAGAATATTTAAGCAGTCATAGCAAAATATCGTTATCAATATAACATCAAAGATATTATGACATATTCTTGTCTATGATATAATCATCACTGGAAGGTTTCTGTCAGTGACTGTTTACAGAAAAGCCTTGGTCATTTCCATTCAGAACAGTCTATTATAACAGTAATATGGCTTTAAACATCTTTTCATACAAACAACTGGAAATTTCAGAAAAGAGATTCCATACCCACATGGACAGAAGCTTTTTTTCCCCTTAAGTTTTTAATCATCACTATATTCTAATGATTAAAGAATACCAAATACTAATACCTTTTTCTCAGTACTAAAACAAGAGGCCCATGGGCCGTAAAGGTCACCTGAGAGAGTTAGACAGAGAGTTGAGGGTGTTTTTAACACGAACAGAAATATTATTCAGTGACAAAAAACAACAAGAGGCCCAAGAGGGCCTGTATCGCTCACCTGAATATTTAAGCAGTCATAGCAAAATATTCTCATTAAATATTATATTGCACTAAAAATATTTCCCTCGCAAACTTTGTTGGTCTCTACCCCAGGAAGCCCGCAGCCAAATATAAAGATTATTATGACATATGCTTGACTATGATATAATCATCCCTGGAAAGTCTATGCCCCATCACAAATGCAGTTTCAAAGTTTCCTTATTTATCAATCTTGTAAGAAGTCATTTGAAGCTTTTGACATATATGACCCCTGTGACCTTGAAAAGAGGTCAAGGTCCTTTTCATTCTCAAACGTTGTTTGGCTCCATCCAAGGAAGCCATCAATCAAAAATAAAGATTCTATACCTTTTTATTCTTCAGAAGAAGGCATTTGAAGATTTTGACATATTTGACCCTTGCGACCTTGAAAACAGGTCAAGGTCATTTTCGTTCTCAAACTTTGTAGGGCTCCTACCAACGAAGCTTTCAGCCAAATATCATGACTCTAGGCCTGTCCGTTCTTCAGAAGAAGGCATTTGAAGATTTTGACATATTTGACCCCTGTGACCTTGAAAAGAGGTCAAGGTCCTTTTCATTCTCAAACTTTGTAGGGCTCCTACCAACGAAGCTTTCAGCCAAATATCATGACTCTAGGCCTGTCCGTTCTTCAGAAGAAGGCATTTGAAGATTTTGACATATTTGACCCCTGTGACCTTGAAAGAATGGCAAGGTCATTTTCATTCTCAAACTGGATCGGGCTCTATCCAAGGAAGCCATCAATCAAAAATAAAGATTCTATACCTTTCAGTTCTTCAGAAGAAGCTGTTTGAACTGTTTGACATATTCGAACACCGTGACCTTGAAAGTAGGTCAAACTAGTTTTCATTCTCAAACGTTGTTTGGCTCCATCCAAGGAAGCCATCAATCAAAAATAAAGATTCTATACCTTTTTATTCTTCAGAAGAAGTTGTTTAAAGGAAAAGTTGACGGACGACGGACGGACGACGCGCCATGGCATAATAAAACCACCTTATTCAATATCTAGCATACAGATTTAAGACTAAAAAGGATTTGAAACTAGCACCTCTGATTCTAAACAAGGAAAATGAAGAAATTTTAGCACACTGACTCCTTTGGGCCCCACCCTACAGCCCTTGGGGGTAGGGCTGACTCAAAATTTTCAAAGTATCAAACTGTCAACTCAGGGTTATAATTCCAATGAAGTTATCAACATGTAATATTCAAAGTATCATTTGCCATTATAAACCATAATAAATTTTGCCCCCCTCCTTCCCCAGGGGGTAAACGTGAGACCCTAGGGTCATAAACCTTAAGACACTTCCATCTATGAAGAGTGTTTGATTCTACCATATCTTTGAGAAGAATTTTTTTTTAAATTTCTGTCAATTAAACCCTTTTTGACCCCACCCATCAGCCCCGGGGGGTCAGTCAGGGCTCATACGTGCATACCATCAAACTGCTATCCAATACTGATAATGCTAACCCAAATTGAATAACTTCCAATGGAAATTAAACAAATGTTGGTCCAAAATGTGATTTCCCTATATAAACTATAGTAAAGTTTACCCCCTCCCCAGGGGTAAACGTGAGACCCCAGGGTCATAAAATTCACAATTTTGGTAGAGCACCTAAAGACCCTTCCATCTATGAAGAGTGTTTGATTCTACCATATCAGGGTCTTTGAGAAAAAGATTTGTGAAATTTCAGTCAATTTGACCCTTTTTGGCCCCAACCATCAGCCCCGGGGGGTCAGTCAGGGCTCATATGTGCATACCATCAAACTGCTATCCAATACTGATAATGCTAACCCAAATTGAATAACTTCCAATGGAAATTAAACAAATGTTGGTCCAAAATGTGATTTCCCTTTATAAACTATAGGAAAGTTTACCCCCTCCCAAGGGGTAAACACGAGACCCCATCGTGCCAGGTGAGCTAAAAACACTACTGCAGATATTTACCAGGCATGACGGTGTCGGTGAACTGGTCAATCGTCGTCCGATCAAGTGGTTCCTCTTTCTCTTGTTTTTCATCGATTTCGGTCTCCTCGGGTTTGGGCGGCTCCTGTTTGGAGGAAGAACTACTCGGTCCACTCTGTAATACAATACATTTGTTCAAGTACACCTTTTTCTCACACATGACACTTGTTAAATTAGCTCTATAAAACCCACCAATACAGCTCTATGGCCATGGGTTATGAATGAAATTCTAGATACTTCTTATGACATTCTCTTTTCACATCATTTGTTTAGGCTAATAGCTATTGGTCAGGTATCTGCCTAGGGACATGGTTAGGGGTCTTCCTGCTTAGAATACCTACCTCGTCAGTAGACATAAGGATATTGTCGCCTAAGGACATGGCTATGGCTCGCATCATTTGATCCTCCTCAGACATCTCCAGTACCATGCCAAGGGGCTACAAACAAAGGAAATGATTAACTCATGAACCTTGAATTTTTGTTCATTTTATTCAACAATGTCACACTCACTTGTAGAGTGAAAGGTGTACCAAGACTATATAGCAAAGATCTCTACTAATAATTTCACACATTAAATGTTAATATCAACAAAACAAACCATATTCCCTAATTAAATATGAAGAGTTTGGACAATTTCTTCATTCTTCAGTTGTCCTTCTTGAATTTCTCAATTGTAGCATAGTGCTGTAAGGGCAAGGAGTCACAAGATTGCAAACCCATACTTGATCAGCAAATGGTTTCCTTTCCATTCTGACTGACCATTAACACAATTTATAAATGTTTGTCTTTCCTCAGTCACTACTAACTTACTTATAGTCCCTTTAGCGTTCAATCAATCAACCGAACTTTCCTCAGTCGCTATCAATATATCATCAAGGATATTATGACATATGCTTGTCTATGATATAATCATCACTGGAAAGTCTATGCCCCATCACAAATTCAGTTTCAAAGTTTCCTTATTTATCAATCTTGTATCTAATATCAGTAAAATTCATGACAAATATTGAGCGAGAGGATAGAAACCAGGAGTTTCTATATGGGGTTTTTAACCACAATTTTGTGGCAAGACTATTCAGTATTTAATGAAATTATCCTCAAATTATTGAAGTCCTTCTTTATGTAAATCAAATGAAAGATTGTACCAACCCTATTTTCCAGTGGAATACTTTGTTCTATATATTTTCACTCCCATTCCCAATCAAACCTTATTCATGGACAATTGACACTTTCATTTATCCTGTTGTGCCAAGACTTGTGCTTTCCTCAGTCGCTATCAATATATCATCAAGGATATTATGACATATGCTTGTCTATGATATATTCATCACTGGAAAGTCTAGCACTGCAAAGCTTAAAGATGCCCCGTCACAAACACGGTTTCAATATTTCCAAATTTATCAGAAGTTATATAAATATTAAGTGAAATTCATGCAAAATACTGGGCGAGAGGAGGGAAATTCAATAGAATTTCATTCAAACAGCTTACATAAACTCAGGTGTAAAGAACGAAGATTAACTGGGGTTGTTCTCACATATTTAACATATATAATAGTATTTAAAACTACCTCAGTTCCACAACTTGCAAGCACACTTTTGCAGATAAGACTATTTAGTGTTTAATAAAATTATCCTCAAATTATATTTAACCCTTCTAGATGTACATCAGATGAAAGATTGTACCAACCCTATTTTCCAGTGGAATACTTTGTTCTATATATTTTCACTCCCATTCCCAATCAAACCTTATTCATGGACAATTGACACTCTCATTTATCCTGTTGTTCCAAGACTTGTGCTTTCCTCAGTCGCTATCAATATATCATCAAGGATATTATGACATATGCTTGTCTATGATATAATCATCACTGGAAAGTCTA